AGAACTACTGTGTACTGTGTAAAAAGTACAGCAATGAGGCGTTCGGATTACAGGGGTTCGGACTAAAGTGGTTCTACTAATGATGTTTCAATATAGCCTACTAAATAATTTTGTTTGTTATGCTCTATAACTTAAAATGGTTTGGACAGAAATTACAAAATTTGTTTTAGTTTTTAGAGTCAAAAATGGGAAACGCCAATTTTTACCCCATAAAACCCTCCATAAACCCCCGTTCCCATGGTCTAATGAACAGTACAGAGACTTTAAAGCCAGGGGGCAGCGGATATCTCGCGAGAATCACACTACAAAGCTTAGCATTTTATTTCCTTTCATGGCAAAATGATCCACGTGATAACTGTAAGTTTTGAGAGAAAAGAACGCCTAGATCGCTGATGGTTGAGGTTCTTTGAACACTGTCTTTTATATTTAAATACAATTTTTATTCTGACACTGGTAGTGTAACTGTATTAGCCTTAGCCTAGTGGGGCAAACTTTCTTAATTATTACCTTGTATATGTCTTACACATTCGTAACAAATATGTGAGAAGAGAATATGTAAAATAACATTAAAAAACGACTGGATTAGAACTGCATGCTACAATAGAATAGTATGATTAAAATTGATAATTAAGTTCTCACCAGCCGTTTATTTTATGTTTGGCATTAGGATCTATTCCTTTCGCAAGTAATTCAGCAACAGCGTCAGTATCCCCAATACATGCAGCTTCTCGAAGTTTTTCTTCGAGTATTTTAAGTTTTTCCATTTCTTTCCAGGAGAGTAATTAAAGTAAACACAGATGCAGACAGAAAAATAGAAAGTTTGAGCAGACGATACTTTGACATGAGGCCACCATTGACCAATCACTTGATTTTTTTATCAAAACTAATGCCAACATTACTTCAGTATATAAATCAGGGGCACCAACAAAGAGAGAGAGAGAGAGAGACAGAGAGAACTATTACATAAGCATTGAGCTTAGAAATAGTTTCACAAAATTAAAAGTTTGTTCAAATACATGTTTTTAGCGAATTTTCCTATAGGGAAGTAGCTATTACCGTAGGTGGTAGGACCTATGCTCGGGACCGATTTACCTATTCATTTTGATGTCCCCAGAGGCCAAAAACACCATTCGTTCAAATATATATTTAAATATATATATGTGTGTGTGTGGCAGTAAACGCGATAACTTGAGTAGTTTTTGTCCGATTTTGATGAAATTTGGTTTAAGTAAGGCGGGATAAACTTGAATGAGTTCGCGAACCAGCATGATCGGACCATGGAAACGGGGTTTTATGGGGTATAAATTGGGGTTTCTCTGTGGTCAGTGAGGTAACTTTTTTAGCCAGAAAAGTAAATGGGCCGCAGATGCCATAGCCCTCAAGTTTAGCAATCAATAGACGATGGTCTTTTCTGCCGAAGGCTTTGTTAAAACCAGATAGACACAATCAACTTGGGAGTGTTCGCTAAATGCTGACATGATTACATTTTGGAAAACGAGGAGGTTTGTGCAAGAGGAGCGACCCTGGATGAAGCCAAGCTCAAACAAAGGCTTTCACAAATTTTGGACAGGGCAGACTGAATGACAATATGGTCTATAGCCTTTGATATTGTTTTTGAAACCCTCTTTAAAAATAGGAACCACTATTAAAGCAATGCTTCAGCACCGTCGGAAAAGTTCCCTCTGAGAGAAGTTTTGCAAAGTAAATTTGGAGGTGGGGTATGAGAGCAGGGGCGCAGTACTTCAGTACAGCAGGTGGGATGTCGTCTGGGCCGGCTCCTTTGTTCGGATATAATGGTTCCAACTTTCTCTGCACATCCAAAGCTTGAAAATTACAGTTGCTTATTTATAGATTCAGACCAAAATCAAAAGTGGGCAGTGGAACGTCAGTCACTCTGAAGACCGAAGAAAAATATCTAGAGAAAAGGTTGCATTTGCCTCAGTGGCTTCAACTGAGTCAAGAAACACAGAAGATGGGAGCGAAGATGAGTTTCTTTGGCATTTAACATATGGCCAGAAGGACTTTAAGTTTTACTAGTTTGAGGGGATACTGTTCTCGATCTTGCCGTGATAAACGGAGTGACATTGAATTGTTTGTAACTTGCAGACTCTTCTTATATTTTGGAAGTCCAAGTAATCTTGACGGGATAGTGATGATCCATATATTTATATTTCTTATGTAGGAGTAGAGCCTTCTTAGCTATGATTAGTATTTTGAGGTTATTGGAGAACCAATGTGGAAATTTTGAGCTAGATAATTTTTTTACGGATTTGTTTGATACTTACTTGATACTTGATGATGTCCCACTAGCATCGCTCCTGCGACGTGGTCGTCAAATGGGTAGATAAACAATAATAGGCCTAATTGAACAAATCTTCTACTTTAAAATAGGCCGCTTCACATAAATATTCTTTTAACATCTTCTTAAATTTATTGAAATTTTGCTCTTGGATAATGTTCCTTGGCAGTGAGTTGTAGATCTTGACACTACTAAAATATGGGCTCTTGCTGGCCAAAGTTGAGTTAACTTGGGGTACATGTACTTGATTAGCTCTTCTCGTGTTGTACTGATGGACCAGATTGTTTGTGAAAAAGATGTCCGGATTATTTCTCACCAAGATGGCAGATTCTAAAATAAATAGCGATGGGAGGGTTAAAATTCCAAGGTCCTTGAATAGGGGCCTACTGTGAGCAAGACGTTGAGCACCACACATTCTCCTAATAATTCGTTTCTGGAGGAGAAAGATCCTATTGGCCATGGTACTACCTCCCCAAAATACTATTCCATAAGATATTATACTGTGAAAACATCCATAATAAACTTTTAACAAAATGTCAGTCTGGACCAATTTCTGGAGCCTAGTAATTAAATTGATTACAGATCTTAATCTTGAAGCTATTGAATTAATATGTACATCCCACTTTAGATTTTCAGTTATGTGCAGGCCAAGATATTTTACTTTTTCACGGGAAGTGAGTGCAACCCCATCTAGCACTAGTTGAGGAGCTGGTTCAGGTTTTTTCCTATTGTAAAATTCTATAAGGTTTGTCTTATCAGAGTTCAAGATCAAGCAGTTTTCGTTACACCAATTTTGCATTTCAATTAGACTAGATTGAGTATCTTCAATAAGACTGACACGATCAGAGTTACAGATTAGGTGACATACATCGTCAGCAAAAAACCACACATTCCCAGATGTTATGGAGCCAGGTAGGTCATTAACATAGAGCAAGAACAATAGAGGCCCTAGGTTTGATCCCTGTGGGACACCCACATTCATGGCAGGGGATGGAGCCGACTTATATGTGCGTAGAGTATTGTCATTCCCCAAATGCTTGAGTGATACGACCAGGTGGCGGTCTCTTAAATAAGAGAATATCCAGTGCAGAGGTCTTCCTGCAATTCCCAGGGAAAGTAGTTTACGAAGCAGGACACTATGGTTTAGTAGGTCAAAGGCCTTGGTCATGTCGTAAAACAGGCAAGGCTGTTTATACAGTTTTTCTTATTCTTATTCTTCATTATCCTTATTAGGTTATATACAGTAAGACAACGAACTATGGCTAGACAACAATAATTTACAAAGCTCAACTGTCGCTATATCTATACGCCACATGGTTTACAGTTTACAGCAGTCCAATTCCTGTGGTCCAAGAACTCTGGGATGGGTAATTATATCAACCACGGACGTCTTGCTAAAATTATATTTTTCACTATTCTTATTTTAAATAACGGTCTGAATTCAAAAATGATTGTCATTTTCCCCGGCGAAAAGCAAAGTTTCCCCGGAAAAGTGGAAAAACAACATTTTTTCGGAAATGAGGGTAGTCAAAGTAACCGGTTGGGTGAGCTGAACAAGAATATGCAAGAATTTTCAAGATTTAACGGAGATACAGTCGGACAAGCACCGTTTTACCAGAAAAACGATGAAAAATTATTTTATTTAAAAACACACATTTTAGGTATCTACATTATGCGGGATTTTACGCTGATTGCATTAGGTTATGTTAGGTTAGGTTGGGTTAGGTTAGGTTAGGTTGGGCTGTTAGATTATATTAGGTTAGGTAAGGCAAGGTTGGGTTATGTTAGGTGATCAATAAAATGGGCATTGTTTGTAACCTAACCCAACATAGCTAACCAAAATATAATCCAACCTAACCTAACCTAATATACCGGTAATCTAACCTAACCCAATATAATATAATCTAAACTAACCTTACCTAACCTAACCCAACCTAAACTTACCTACCTATTTTTGGTCATTTTGGTACTAACTTGATTTCCTGACGGTTTCCCGGCCGTATCTCCGTTAATATCCATCGGATCTTGAAAATCCTCACTCTACCGGTTAATTTTGAGTACCCTCTTGACCTATTTCCGCAAAAGTGTAGTTTTTTTCGTTTTCCCGGGAAAATGACAATATTTTTTGGATTCAGGACGTTATTTAACATAAGAATACCTACCTACCTACCTACCTACATACCTTCTGTTGTGAACTTTTACCAGAGAAAACTGGATTGTTCATGTCAATAAAAAAAGAAATTAAAACATCACTTCATACATAAAATAGTGTAAAATAGTGTAGTAAAATAAAATAGTGAAAATAGTATCATTTTAGCGAGAAATCCATGATTGATATAATTACCCTTGGATGCTGCAACCCTTTTATGCATTATTTTAAATTACATAAACAAATTTATTTCAAATAATTACCTAGTGGATACGAAAAGAAGTGTGGCCTTTTATTATGAGTGGAATACAATGACAATGTGGGATCCGAAGAAAGAGACGATTTCGTTTAAAGTATTTATTAATCAGAAACTTCATAATCAACTGTATTGGTTGTAACCATTGAATGAATACATAAATAAATAATCAGTGGTATCATAACCGAGCATCAACAACAAACAACATGGAGATGTACTACTCCACGGTACAGTTTCTAGACCTGCTGGCAAATGCAATGTCAGCATCTATTTTTTATACTCATGGTGGAAGCTGAAACACTGAAACTATTGAAATATTGAAAATTGAAACAGTTGTTAATGTTAGTTGTTTGTGTTGGTTGTTGTGTTCGTTTTGTGCGTTAATTAAGTAATTCGATTCGTTACATAAATCTAATTGAATAATTTATTAATTGCCGGATTTCAGCGTCGTGTAAATTGAAGAGTCCACTAAAATGGATGGACCAACATCAACAGATATAATGCTCATAAATGGGAATTCACACCCAGAATTAGCAAATTTGATTGCAAGGTTTGTTTAAATTTTTAATCAAATACATAGGCCTAACCCTAATCTAATGTTATAGCCTATTTTTTAAAAAGAGAAAGCCAATGATAAAATTCCCTTTCGTACTTAATAAATAAATGAGCAAAGAAGGTACCTAACTTAGGTATATTCAATCTAGACACATGCCCCTGTGACATAATCTCCAATGTGTTATCTGTAAGCTATGGCCTTCATATAACTTACAAGGACTTGCAGAGAATTTGGGAATAGAATCTTTATAGTTTCCGTTTTACAAAAGAAAATATTGTTTTAAGGTATCCAAATGCTTAAACTTGGGTGTTTAAAAGGCTAGCCTCTAAGACCCTATCAAAACTTTAAATACCTATAGCCTAGGCAGGCTTAGGCCTTGTGAAGTTAGTTGTAACCTATGTTTAGGCTAGGGTAGACTTCTATATCTGTTGGCACAAACAACCGAATGAAAATATTGATCGATATATCGATTATTCAATATATCGTTTGGTTAGTTAACTTAGTTAAGGTTTACCTAACCTAAATATCCAACGATATATCGAATGAAACAATAGAATAATCGATATTTTCATTTGGTTGTTTTTACCAACAGATACGGAATTCTACCCTTGGGCTATTTGGTCAGCATTGATATATAACTACTTAACTTAGCAGATTACCGTTTGTAATAATTGATTTTTCCTTAATAAGTTAATTGATCTTTGTTAGTTGTACTTAGACTAACGTATTCAGTCAGGCTTTTATCGATTGGATTCAACTCATTATCAAATGATAGCAGCCTAAGTAACTTCCAGGCCTAGACCTACTAAGCCTAGAACTTATGAATAAGTTCTAGGCTTAGTAGGTCTAGGCCTGGATGCATGAAATTCATTGAATCGCGGCAGACCTAATCTCAGTGCACGTCAGCCACAAATGGGCCTTTTAATCTCTCCGCATGGTGCATCGGAGCCAGTAAACTCGAGTTAGCCTACTTGATGAACTGCGCAGCATCCTACTATGAACTCGTCCTTAGGAATTCAGGCTACAATTCTTTTAAGAATGAGCTTGCTAAACCAACTCATGTTCTATAAGTAGGCCCTAATATGTAGCCTACTTATTACTTATTGCAATTGAATCATAAGGTACTGGTACTTAGGGGTCCCCTTAAGGTAGCAATAGTAAACATAAATACAGCCCGCTACAATGGAACATGTGAGGTTATTTTGGCTATTTTATAGTGAATAGGTTGAGGCAACTCTTTTCGCTTCATCGGTCAATAAGCAGAATATACCTACATGTCAAGCTTTAGACACACACACTTGACTGTATTTCCCATTGTCTTTGCATACTCGATACCACAATATATTAAAAAGATAACACAGTCTCTTAATTTCTCTTACCAGCCTACCTCTTTGTGTAACCCCCCCCCCCCCCAATGTGAACAGAAAGCGTCCTAGGACAAAAGAAAAATAAATAAAATAACTGGTTTGGTATCAGTCTTTTGACTTTGTTGCTTTTAGCGAATTTCCCTATAGGGAAGTAGCTATTACCATAGGTGGCACGGTAAGACCTATTTATACCGTAAGATAAGACCTATTTAAGACCTAGACCCGGGACCAATTTACTTTTTCATTTTGATGTCCCCAGAGGCCAAAAACACTATTCGTTCAAAATTTTATTATATATACCGGTATATAGACATATATATATATATATACTAGGTGAACCAGTGCGAATTCGCACGAATAATAAATTAGGATATTATAGCAACGACGTTAGAAGTTGCGTCGTTGTATCGTTGGTCTTGAGCTCGATCGTTGGCCTTCTAAGTTCTTTTTGCTGTTCAGTAGGATTATTTTGCAGGACGGAGCTCAAAATGTGCATGAGTTCAGTGCTGCAAGAGCCATTGGCTTTGTTTAGCATTCTTTCTTGACGTCCGTGGATATAAACTTTGGCATATGTGCTCCCCTTCTGACGGTTGAAAGGTGCCAATTGAGTGATAAATTGTGTCGTGCACCTTATACATGAAAGTCCCTCCATCGTTATGTTCTTCAATTTTAGCTCGAGTGCTGACCATTGCGAGTGAAGAGTTGTACGATCTAATGTTCTCTTTGTAGATTCTCCTCAAATGATTCGCTTCATTAAGTAGGCTCTGGATATAATAGATTTCTCGGTATGGCGGTATCTTCACTTTTCCTTTATGGCAGCAGGATGAAAAAGCTTCGCCTCGTCCTCTTTGTTCTTCTTGAAAATGTAGCGCACCACATTTCTGACATTTTAATACCATCTCGCCAAGTGAATGCTGCTGAATTCTTGTATTTGTCAGTGTAATTTTGTAAGTACAGGTTGCCACTAACTGTTCCAGCTCCTCGTCTGGGCCCTTTACGTTTTGCATTGCTTGCCGTATGTTGACTCGCCGTGTCTGACCGGCAATATTTCTTTGTCGTCGGGTCCTTGGCATGTTTAAACGAAAATATGATGTTTAAATATAACTTAAATATAAAATATAACTTTTCTCCCGTCGTGACCTAAAGGTAACATTTCTTTGCCGGGTTTCTAATTTATTTTTAAAAACATGCAAACTGTTTACATTTCAAAACCAAACAAAACAGCTGGGATTTAATTTTTTTTTAAACTAACGTATTGACATCTGTTTCAGAATATAAAAACATTCAAATCAATCACAATGTTATCCTTATGGAAGGAACTTTGAGGGCAGCCCACGCCCTTAAAAAGATGTATTTTGAAAATCTAAAGCCAGTTTGCACATCTACACACCTAGAAGAACATTTTGGTATATAATATGGGGGGTTAAATCTTAAAACAAAAAAGCCTTATTGTTCACAAAGTTTCATGTCGCGTATTAAATATATAGATACTAGCTGTACCCGCGGGCTTTGCCCCGTTTAACTTCATATGTGAGCTCGTTCGCATGGCTCAATCACGTCCTGGTTGAAGTTCGTTCGCTACGCTCACTCACCTTTAGGTTGGAGCACATTCGCTGCGCTCACTTGCCTTCAGGTTAGCTCGTTTGCTACGCTAACTCGCCTCCGGGTTGAAGTTCGTTCGCTTTGCTAACTCACCTTTTGGTTTAAAATTAGCTGTTGTCAAATATTTAAAAAAATAATAGTGCTGCACTCTGTTGGTAATCCTTGTAACTTTAATGCTATTGAACATCATAGAACAGAACCAACTTGTTTAATTGAAACAGCTGTCAAGATTAATTTATTCCATTTAAATATGAGTACTCATTAGGTTAACATGGGAAACTCCAGAGCCACTGGGGCGGAGCCCGAGAGTCCGATCAGAATAAAAACCACTTAGTTTTCCTATTTAATGCCTAAAGAAGCATTGTAGCAAATTTCAGCCTCCTAGGTAAATGGGAAGTGGGAGAATTAGTGATGAGTGAGTGAGTGAGTCAGTCAGTCAGTCAGTCAGTCAGTGAGGGCTTTGCCTTTTATACAGAGGGGTGCAAAAGTAGGTATACAGTATTGAAACATTATAGAAAAATATATCCACTCATATAAAAAGAAATTGATTTGAAGAGTATTAAGACACCTAAATTAACTCTTAAAAATTTTGTAATTGGTATGTTATGTGTTGTGTGTGTTGTGTGCCTGTTTGTACTGTATACCTACTTTTGCACCCCTCTGTATATAGATATATACGTCCGTGAACGCGATAACTTGAGTAATTTTTGTCCGATTTTGATGAAATTTGGTTTAAAGGTGTAAAGCGGGATAAACTTGAATGAGTTCGCGAACCAGCACGATCGGACCATGGGAACGGGGCTTTACGGGGGGTTTTATGGGGTAAAAATTGGTTTTTCTCACTTTTGACCCTCAAAACACAAAATTTCCCAATTTCTCTTTAGACCTTTTTAAAGAGCTTAAAAAAAAACAAATAATTTAGTATATAAAAGTATTTTTGTTTGTATATTAGTAACGGAGATAATTAAAAAAATTGTAAATTTAAAATTCCATGTGTTATTCTTATGGAGAATATTGTCAAATGTTGTAGTTTGCTTGTTTATGAATATATTTTGATCAAACTTGGCAAATTTATTTATTTTGTACTTAAGCTATCAATATTTTACTCAAAAACACACTTTATTAGTTTCCTTGTAGCAGCAAACCTAGGTACTCGTTAAACCTAAATGTTATTAAAATATATTTAACTGAAAATCAATTCAGACAAATGGAAATTCGCTTAGTCTGCAGGTTTGCTGCGGCGGGGGTATTTAATTTTCATCCCTACAACCTACATAAGTTAGTAGCCTAACGGAGAAATTCTTGTTTATCGTGAAGATTTTTTAGTTTGAGTTTTGGGTGAATATATTTGTTTCTTGTCCTCCTGGACCCCAAAAGTGGTTTCAATGTGATGTGTATGTCTGAGTGTGTGTCTGTACATAGCTAAAGAAAAAAATATGCTTCAAAAGCTATTGCTTAAAAGTTGTGTGCTTTCCTATAAAAAAAACCTGTTAAATAACTGAAAAAAGGATAAAAAAAAGGGCTTGACCAATTTTGATTAAAAAGTAGTATTGATTCCTTTTAATTCTCTAAATAAAATGGCACAACTCCTATTGCTGTAAAAATTATGGTTAAAAAGTTATGACAACTTTTGTGATTTTTCACATAAAATATCATAGTTAGGTTGGACCTCTTACAATTTATTATACTTGTAGGTATTTACTTGAGTACTTGGAAAAGGTTAGTTGAATCATAATTTCACAAATAATGAGCCTTATCACTTTAAAATTATAAAACTTGTAAAATTGGAATAAAATCTGTCGGAAAACAAATAAATAGTAGGTAGGCAATCATGTTTTGGCCTACTATCATTAACTTTTTCAAGTTAGTTTATAAGGGTTAAACTTAAATATTTTATGAAGTTAAAAAGTATAATTACCAATTGTTTTGTTCCTGTTGGATCTCAGGTTTAAGTAAGTGGTATTTATATTTTCTTCATGACCGACTTAACTTCTCTTCATTCTTAAATTTAGCTGTGTCTTCTTATTGAATTATCCATGTGTTCTAGCAAAGCTCTTGTTTGAAATCCTCGAAATACACCATATAAACCACAAGATCTTTAATAGTTCTAAACTTAGTTAGCCTAAACTTAGTTTCCATTTTATAATTCCTCCACAACAATTGTACAATTCCTCCATTTTTTATATTAAAACTAGCTGACCCGGCGAACTTCGTATCGCCTAAGTTATAGGTTTCCCCTAAGACAGACCGATGGAAAGAAAGTACCGTTACGTTTAATTTTCAAGATGATCTCGTTCGCATCGCTCAATCATGTCCTGGTTGAAGTTCGTTAGCTACGCTCACTCACCTTTGGGTTGGAGCTCGTTCGCTACGCTCACTCACCTTTAGGTTGGAGCTCGTTCGCTGCGCTCACTTGCCTTCAGATTAGCTCGTTCGCTACGTTCACTCGCCTCCAGGTTGAAGTTCGTTCGCTATGCTCACTCACCTTTTGGTTGCAAATTAGCTGTTGTCATAAATGTAAAAGAAATAATAGTGCTGCACCCTGTTGGTAATCCTTGTAACTTTAATGCTATTGAACATCATAGAACAGAACCAACTTGTTTAATTGAAACAGCTGTTAAGATTCATTAATTCCATTTCTCATAAGGTTAACATGGGAAACTCCAGAGCCACTGGGGCGGAGCCCTTTTAAGAATTTCGAAACGGGAAATAGTTTACGTCCGATTCGCATACCTACAGAATTTACACACCAAATTTCATAACGATCGGTGAAGTCGTTCCGGAGGAGTTTGCAGACAAACACTGTGACACGAGAATTTTATATATTAGATATGTCAAATCCATGTTATAAAATATGTTGCTTTGTATTTCAAATGGCTAACTTATACAGGGTGATTGATATAAGTGTGCCAGCCGTTTTATTCGAAAACTATAAGAGATATCAAAAAAAGTTAAATGGTAAGTGCCTAAAACCTAACCTAAACCTAACCGTTTCAAAGATTTGAAATTTTTGCATGAGAAAGAGTTTCGATACAGGCCTAAGCAAGCATGCCAGCTGTTTTATTCGAAAACCATTCAAAATTTCATAACTTAAACCATTATTATCTTTAAAACGGTTAGGTTTATGAAAAAAATCACAAGAATAAAATCGTCTTAAAATTACATTTTCTACCAGAATCCATCATAAAATACAGGGTGTTCCATAAGAAAAATCAAAGTTGGCGGCCATATTGGAAAAATGGCGGCTAAAATAATTTTTTTGACTTTACTACAATTTTTTAAATAAAAAGTCCAAGGCACTTACCATTTAACTTTTTTTGATATCTCTTATGGTTTTCGAATAAAACGGCTGGCACACTTATATCAATCACCCTGTATATTTCAGCAAAACACATGATAAACAGCCAAGTGTTGAGATGTATTTTCATAAATTTTACATGTTTAAATGAGATAACTTTGTAATTAATGACTTAGTATCTCTTGTATGTGGAGACCAATTTGACTGTTTCAATTAGACAAATCATTGCAAATGTAAATATTTAAGATAACCTATCTAAATAATTCACCACATTTCAAGAGACTAATGGTAACTATTTATTTGTAATTCTAAAATTATTCACTCAGTTATCTACTCGTCTTTAAAATCAAATTTTCAATATGATTCGCCATTGGGTTAAAAATAATGAGATTTCCGCAAAAGACCGGCCAATCATAGTTTTCAGTGGGCAGTCATATCCGGAACTAGGTGAACTCGTAGCTAGGTAGGCCTACATAAATTATTTTTTCATTAAATAATCTTTTTGTTTTCAGTAATCCTTGCAAAGGTTATAATCTAAACAATTATCAAGTTACAAAGTTAATATACCCCCACACGTATAGTTATAGATACATTTGTTGCAATTAATTGTAGTCATGATTCCTTATCATTCCACAACTCAATCTCTGAATATTACTTATGTTTGAGCTGAACTTAGGTGTTACCGAGACTAGTAATATACAGTTGACATACACTGTGGAATACCAGAAAGGAGGTATTTTCTTTTGTTCTTCATACAATACATTGATTACCTAAATTATATTTTTTCAGCCGCTTGGGAGTAAAGCGTGGAGAATGCTCTGTGTACCACAAGACAAACCGAGAAACGATGGTGGAAATAGGCGATTCGGTGAGAGGCAAAGATATATACATCATCCAGACCGGAACCAAGTAAGTTCAGATCTAAATAATGATTTTAGCCTACTTGAAATTATTGCAATTTTTTGAATCTTTGAACGGTTGCCATTTTTTAATTAGTTGTTATTTTGAGCTCAAATTTGCAGCATTGTATTAATCTAATAAAAAGGTCTACCTTTAATTCCAGTGCATTTCAACTTCTAGCGCACATTTATGATATACTCCCAACTTCTAGTAAGCCGTCCTCCTGAGGAGGTAGCATATTATCACTGAATAATGTTTTAAATGTTTTTTATGCCCAGTGACTCTGTACCAAGTTTTAGCGAATTTCCCTCATTACCGAGTAGTATTACAGTAAGTAGCCTATTAGCGAAGTAGCTATTACCGTAGGTGGCACGGTCAGACCTGGAGCCGAGACCGATATACTTTTCATTTTGATGTCCCTAAAGGCCAAAAACACTATTCGTTCAAATTTGTATATTTGTATATATTTCTGCACGCAGGCAGGTAAAATGTCAAAATATACTATTGTGTACTAGTATAGAATAAAAGCAACAAGTATAAAATAAGTTAGGTTATTAGCAAAATTTACAACAACTAAAGGCCATGTCACACCGACATCCGCCGCTCCCGCCGCGGGAGTACCGCGCGCGGATGTTTTTCCTCGAGCCATGTCACACCAAAAGTTCGCGTCCGCGGCGGGAGTTTTGAGATGAGTTCATTACAATTCGTTTTACATAAGAAACTCATCTTAACTGTTTAGTAAGCCATGTAAATTTGCAGGTTTTAAGTAAAGTGCTTAAGTAGCAATTGAATGTTTATTAATTTGTTAGTGTAGGGCTACTTTAAAAAGTGAATAATTATTTTTTTAAATTAATTTAGACCTTGTGTTTGAAGCATTTTAAATATGGTTGAGGATAAATTATCCACTTTCAGCATTTTGAACGTTATTTTTCGCTACACTACAAAGACTATTTACTTTTGAAATTAAAACATATGACCATTTTAAAACTAATGTAATTTTTTGCTAAGCCTTCTATTGTAAGTTCAAGTTTACATTGATTGTAAAGTTTTGGTTGTTGCAAATCAAAAAAGTTGATGAGACGGTAAAAAAAGTTGTTTACGTTGGCAATATAAAAATGTTCATGGGAAACATTAAATTTTCACTGTAACCGTTATTTTTGCATGGTAAACAAAAATGATTTTTTCTGGTGATAAACATAATTACGAATATAGGCTAATACAAAACAACATATACTACATCATCAAACAAAAGAAACATGTTAAATTTAATTTGAAACTGTATTACTTTTAAACTTTAAATAATTTGGGCATTCGAATTCCCCCTTTGCGCATGCGCTAGACAAAACTCCCGCCGCGGTACTCTCAAAAAATCGCTCAGCAGGCGGACGTGGCGGACACTACCGCACGCCCGCGGGCGCGCAGTAGTGCGGTGTGACTTGGCCCATTTGATAACATGGTGAGCGATTTTTAAAAATTCGCTCCCGCCGCGGGAGCGAGCTCGGTGTGACTTGGCCTTAAGTTATATCAATAATAGTCCTTGAATGAATCAAAATGCAAAGTAAAAATAGATGGAGAGTTATCAGAAAGCTTTGAAGTAAGAACAGGCGTAAGGCAAGGTGATGGAATATCACCTATACTATTTAACATAGCCTTAGAAGAGGCCCTCCAACAAGTAAGACAAACAAATATAGGTTTAGAAATGGGAACAAAAATAAACATCCTAGCTTTTGCGGACGATGTAGTAATTCTGTCAAAAAACAGAAATGACCTAGAGGAGCTAACCAGACTGTTCATAAAAAAATCAGAAAAAATGGGCCTAAAGATTAATGATGAGAAGACAAAATATATACACTTCACGAGACAGCCAAATGAAGTGAGGACAAATGAAATTAGTATAGATGGACATACGTTTGAAGTTGTTGAACAATTTAAATATCTAGGGGTAATTATATCAAGCAGCAATAGTGAAGAAATGGAAATAAATTATAGGATTGCTCAGGCCAATAAATGTATGTATTCTTGTAAGAAATTGTTGACTTCAAAGATTCTCTCACATAAAACGAAAATAAAAATATATCATAGTATAATTCGACCAGTATTAACATATGGAGCTGAAACTTGGATTTTAAATAAAAAAGAAGAAAACAAAATGATTGTTTTTGAAAACAAAATTTTAAGAATGATATATGGACGAATACAAGAAAATGGAGAATGGAGAAAAAGGCATAATAGGGAGATAAGGAATATGTACAATGATAATGATGTAGTAGCACACGTGAAAGCAAGGAGAATAAGATGGGCAGGACACGCTTTACGGAGAGAACGAGGTTCACTACTAAAAGAAGCAAGTATAGGAAAGCCAGAAGGGAAACTACCATTAGGAAGGCCCAAGAAGAGATGGTGGGATAGTGTTTCCAAGGACGTCAGAGAAGTGGGGGCAGAAGTGGAAGAGGCAGAAGATCGAGAGAGATGGAAAGCAGTTGTTGGTGCGGCCAAATCCCGCCTTGGGCATAAATGGCCATGGGAGTGAGTGAGTGTAAGTTATATATCAATGCCAATAAGTTATGTCTACTACAATCAGACTGATCAAAAATCCTCAATGCTGTAAAAACAATTCTCTAACAGGTAAGACAGTAAGTGTAATTGGAACTTATTAAATGATTCTACCTCTTTCAGTGATAAAGGAAGCTTATTATAGGCTATAGTTTGAGACCCATATAAAAAGTACTCTTTTCATAAGCAGCAGATTTATGTATGGGGTACTGCAACACAGAGCTCATGTGCCTAAATCTGTATTGGGAGTTAGTTCTTTTTTCTTCATAAAAAGAAAAATGCTAATAAGCATGGTATATACGTCCGTGAACGCGATAACTTGATTCATTTTTGTCCGGTTTTGATGAAATTTAGTTTGAAGGTGTAAGGTGAGATAAACTTAAGAATGAGTTTGCGAACCAGCATAATCGGAACATGAGAAAAGGGTTTTACGGGGGATTTTATGGGGTAAAAATTGGATTTTATCATTTTTGACCCTCAGGCAAATGGAAATTGGCTAAGTCTGCAGGTTTGCTGCGGCAAGGGTATTTTAGCTCTATCTTTATTATTTTTTGAAATATTTAACTGTCCAGGGACTTTTTCCCCCCATATATTAATTTGAATGGATGGTGTTTTTGGCCTCTGGGGACAACAAAACAAAATGGTATGATTAAAGGTATATCGGTCCTGGGTTCAGGTCTTACCATGAGACCCACGGTAGTAAGTTAGCTTATTCTCTTTATGGGAAATTCACTAAAATCAAACACTTGTAATTCATCAATTTGTACTAGGTATTTTTTTTTTAGGGTCTAATGTCTACTGCCACTTCTTACGTCAACTGTACATTAAAGGTGGTAAAAAAATTTACTTGCTTAGTTGAAACAAATGTTTTTGATTCTTATTTAGTTGGGCTATGCTTTGCCTGCCTTTGGGTTTTCTTTTTCATCGGAAAATTTGAATATCTTGGATCGCTTGCAAAATAATGCTTTAAGATTTGTATATGATCTAAAAAAAAAATTGATCACATATTACATATCAAAAAGATAAGTGAAATGTTACCAGTACAGGTTATTTGCGTCCTTGAAACTGTTGCCATAGTACATAAAGTGGTCAAAACCAACAGACCCTCCTACCTCTAAGATAAAGTAACCACTCGAAAAGAAGTACGAGATAGGTGCACAAGACAGGATAGCCTACTGCATTTGGTTCGTGTAAATTTTGAATGTAGTAAGAAGGGGTTTTCTTTTTTCGGCCCTCAGGAATACAATTTCTTACCTGAAAGAATTAAAATTTTAAGTTATAAGGCTTTCAGACAAGAAACAAAAAAACTCTATTTGTAAATATAGGTTAGTTGTATTAGTTTTAATTAAATTATTTGTTCTCTTTTATTATTGTATTGAAGACTGTGTACCTGACTTGAGTTGTTTTGAAAAACAGTGTATTTTTGTACTGAAAACCACTTAAAATAAAAGACGTTTCTATTCTATTCTATTCTGCTATAGGCCTACAGTATGTGAATTGGTCTAATTTTAAAATTTCTAGGGATGTAAACAACAACATAATGGAACTGCTAATCATGGCGTATGCTTGTAAGACTTCCTCGGCCAAAAATATCGTCGGGGTCATTCCGTACCTTCCGTACAGCAAGCAGTGTAAGTTATCCATAGTTTAGATAAACATTTAAACATACTAGTTAGTCCTAGTCTAGTCAAGATCACAGCAACTTTGTGATTATCTCTAGACATTGTAATCCCTAGTGGCCAATTAGGATGTTGGTTGGATGGAGCCACCGACAGTGTGTGTTCATGTAAATACTACAGGTTCAGTACCGGCCATCGTCTCCTGACACCCAATGTGTGTTAAACCAAATCTATACGAAATGCGGACAGCTTATTGCAAGCTATAACATATTTTTGTTACCTGAACATCTCATATCTCACTAACAAAAAATATGGGTAAAAACATAATTTTGCCCCCACCCTGTGAATAAGCTCATTCAGCTAACTTTTACTTCCTCCCACCTATACATAGGACAAAGCTGTAGCCATATATATGGCTATTTATTGTATATGTATATATATATATATTAGGGATGGACGAGATTGGATTTTTAGTTCGAGACGAGACGAGACGAGATTTTTTATTTCTCATAAAATTTTGAGACGAGATCGAGACGGGATTTCCCTTCTCATACACAACGGGAAATGCACGTTCAAAATTTTTACCTGATTTTGTAACATTGTTAGATGACTGTTTAAATACAAAAATAATGATAATAGGCAAGAATATTTACAATCTTTTATTAAAAAACATCAGCATAACATTTTTTTATTATTCACGCCTAACTTATTAAAAATCCCTACGATTAGGAAACATAGTGATATCAGTTAGGATAGAGTTAAACTTATCTTAAAATAAAATAAATCATAAAATAAAAGCAATATTAATTTTTATAAAATAGTTACTTGTTTTGACTTTTTATAGTAATAAAACATTCCTCACACTGCTTACACTTAACAAAACTTCTCAAATGTTATTAAAGTAATATTATTAAAATAATAAAAGTAATATTAACATTTAAAGAATTAATTAAATAAGAACGCCTTCGCAAAGGAAACGCAACTACAACACGCTCCTGTATTGCGGGTATTGCATTGACTTTCTGCAGGCGTTTTTAATTTTTTTTTTTTATTTTTATTCTTGACTCGATACGAGATTTAAAATTTCCCGAAAATTTCCCGAAATTTCGAGACTTGACCATCCCTAATATATATATATATATATATAACCCAGAAAACACAGTAGTAATCATTGTATCAACTAAATTCTTTTTCTTCTTTAAAACAACAGAGGAAACGTCAGTAATGCCATTTTGCTAATAGAAAGTTTAATAATATTCAGTAGGAAAATTGAATAACTATATATATATACACCGCAAGGCCAAAGCTAAGGGAACCGAGGAGGCTTGCTCCTGCTCGTCAACCTAAGCGAGTATTTTTCCATCAGGAATATATTTACAATACAAAAAATAATTTGGCGTGCCTTGCCTTGTCAAATAAAGGTTACAGGGCGAGTTTATGCAGGAGCAAAATAGATATTCACTGTTTTGTTTGGTTTTACTTACCTAACTGATCATTGTTATTGTCGTGTTTAAGTAAATTAAATGAAGTAGATGACTCAAAGCTTTAGAAAGACTGACACTAAAAACTGTAGGCCTAAACTACACAGTGCACACTGTCAATGAGTGAGACAGGTTATGTCAAATTCCCGCTCATTTGTTCACACTACAAATGAAATGAAATGAAATGAAATGAAATGAAATGAAATGAAATGAAATGTTTATTCGTCAAATAAGTTTACAAGATTGTGATTTTCACATATAAACATATGACATGTCAATACCACTTTACTATCTAATAATACCTTATGCTAAATTCTTTGTTTTTATCAATCCATAAAACCTAAAGCTAAGTTTTTATAAAATCATCTAGGGAATAAGGACACAAGAGAATGAGATAAGATTTTAGTTTTCTTTTAAAGGATGACATATTTTCTTCAGTTTTAATTTGATCTGGGAGGTTATTGTAAATTTTCCTACCCATGTACCATGGCGATCCTTCATACAGAGCTGTTCTATGCACAGGATATTGAAGATCATTCCTGTGTCGGGTGTTATATTGATGAGTGTAATTTTTCAACATAAATTCCTTATAATTTCTTTTTACAAAGATGCACAGTTGAAAAATATAAACTGCATAAATCGTCAAGAGTTTCATCTGAATAAAAAGGGGGGCGGCAAGAGGAACGTGGTCTGGTATCAGCTAAAATTCTAACGGCAATTTTTTGTAAGATAAAAATATTCTTGGTAATGGGGGAGCTGCCCCATGAGATAATACCATAGGAAGACCTAGACATAAAATAAGAATGATACACAGCAAGAGCTGCATGCAAACCCGAAGACTTATAAACCACCCTTAGACCAAACAGTGCTTTTGCTAGAGACAAGCTAATTTGTATTTGATGATCAGACCATTTTAGATTTTCATTTATGTTAACACCCAGGAATTTAGTATTTGCAGAAGATTTTATGGAATCACCTGATTTTAGTTTGATTGTTATCTCACCTGCCTTCAGTTGTGGATTATGGAAATGAAGAAGATGAGTTTTGGAACAGTTTAGATGTAGTCCGTTTTGTGCAAACCAAGTTATCATGGAATCTAAATCTCGGGATGCAATGTTAGTTGCAGAAAAAATAGAAGGTGCTCTTACTAGCATTGTTGTGTCATCAGCGAATTGAATAATTTTGGAAGAAATTGAAAAAGACAAGTCATTGATGTAGAGGATGAACAGAAGAGGCCCCAATTTAGATCCCTGCGGAACACCATGGGTTACTGAGTTCCATTCAGAAAAATGTTTGACACCGGATTTATCTTTGATGACAACCTGCTGATATCTGTTAGTGATGTAACTAGAAAACCATGAAAAAGATGATCCAGATATCCCATACAATCTCAATTTCTCCAAGAGAATGTCATGCCTGACACAATCAAAGGCCTTAGACAAATCACAGAAAACACCAAAGGTTCTCTGTGATCCGTCCAAGGCCTCCACTGCCTCAGAAACTAGATCGACTATTGCATCAGACGTGCTTCTCTCCCTCCGAAAACCAAATTGATTCTTGTTCAATAAATTGTTTGATTCAAGAAATGGAACAATTTGTGAGAGAACAACCTCTTCAAATATTTTTGAAAACACAGGTAAGAGAGCCACTGGTCGGTAGTTTGAAATTTCTTCCGAGTCCCCCTTTTTAAATATAGGTATAATTTGAGCATACTTCAATTTGTCGGGGAAGACTCCTGACAGCAGTGAAATGTTGATAGAATGAGTGAGTGGTTTTATAATTGAAGAAGCCAATGATTTTATTACATTTGTAGGAATTTCATCCCAGCCAGTTGAACTTTTATTCTTTAATCGATTGATGCAGGAGATAACATCGGATTCAGAGACAATCTTAAATTCAAATACATGTGGGACATTTAGAGTTGCCATTTTTGCTTTGGCTATTGAATCTGCCACCGAAACCTGGGACTGAAACTTATTTGCTACACCAATGAAGTGATGATTCATGCAATCAGTTACTTTTATAGGATCGTCAATAACCTCCCCATTAATTTTGATTCCTAGACAAGGTTCTGTTTTACAATTTGTACCGATTTCTCTCTTTACAATGCTCCATGTTGTTTTACCTACATTATCACTATTCTCTAACAAATTTAAGTTGTACCTCATTTTGGCTGCCCAAATTACTTTCTTAAAAACCTTCTTGTAATTTTTAAAGTATTCTAAGAAAACAGGATTTGTATTATTTCTAGAAATTTTATAAAGCTCCCATTTTCTTTTACTGGATATTCTAATACCTTTTGTTACCCATTGATTATTTCTCCCATTTGTTGACAGAGATTTCTGTTTAATTGGGCAATTATTCAAAAAAGAATCATAGAATATTCCAAAGAAATTATTGAAACTACCATTAGAACTAAGGTTTGACATGCAATTAGTCCAGTTCTCTTCAATCAGACCGTTTAACATACCAAGAACGTTTTCCTTCTTTATGACCCGCTTCGACAAGTATTTTTTACATTGGTTAGGCCTTATTTCATTTCTTTGACAAATTACCTGACCTAAGTGGTCAGATATCCCAAAGTCCACTACTTCACAAACCTTATCAATACTATTTACATTTGAAATTACATTATCAATACAAGTGGCTGTAGTTGGTGTTATTCGAGTATACTCTTTGATCATGGCATTGTACCCAAAAGACTGAAACAAAGTTTTAAACCTAACACATTTTTCATCATCAATTTGCATGTCTATATTAAAATCCCCACTTATGTATATTGGACACAAATGTTGTTCTGCCTCAAGGTGCTGTAATAGTTTTTCAAAGCTTGAGAAAAAAATCTTTAGGTTTTGGTCATTCGGAGTCCTGTAAATTACAATGTATATTGTTTTGGTTGACTTTTCATTACTCATTGTTTCAATAGCAGTGCATTCAAAAGCTTCTTCAATTGCCATAGAATCAATATCTTTCCTTTCTTTAAAAGTGATATTATTTTTTGCAAAAATACATACCCCTCCCCTACTTTTTACATTTCTGTGGTAAACTGAGGCTAGCTTATAGGAGGAAAAACAGTTAGGCAAGTGAACATCATTTGTATCCATCCAATGTTCTGACAAACAAACAATTTCTGGTTCAAGTTTTAAATGATCTAAAGTAACTTTTAAGACAACAAATTTACTTAAACTTGATCCCTGAATATTTAAGTGAGTTAACAAACATTTTTTAGAATATTTTTTTTTATATTTTACATTAAACTTTACATTTTTTAATTGTTTTGGCTTATTTACACATTTATCTAAAGCTAAGTTACATACACTTGGGTTGCTGACGTTAAGTTTTTTTGAAGATCACTACACTTTACATTAGTATTTACACTACAGGTACTACTTTCATCAAAAGACATTTTGTCAGTAGAGGTTGTTGTCACACCTTCAGTTGTGTTGACCGTGATGTCTGCTGAAGCACCACTTCCTGAATCATCGGTTTTGTTCATGACATTAAAGATGTTAAGTTTTATTTTATTTACAAAATCATTGTAAGAAAGCCCACTTCGGAGAGTTCTGGAAGAGTTCTCATCATTCACTACTATGATCACTTTGGCATTTGTCCTTTGTTGCAGCTGGCATATTCTGGTTACCATGTGCTCGACAGGAACATTATCCCTGACACAGCCCGCTGGTGAACAAACTATTAACTTTTGGCCTTTCTGTGTTACGTGCTGTTCCAGAGAATCGAAAGCTTTGTCATAATCCCTGATGTCTGGTTTACTGTAATATTTAGGTTTGGTTACTAATCCATACACTGAAACTTTGTTAATTTTTTGATAAGTTAGGTGTGAGTGTACAAAATCTGTTTTTAAGGGTTTCTTGAAATGTTTTTTAAATGCTGTCGCTACACCCGCACTCATGTGCCTGTCACTGTCAACGTCAGCAGAGATACAGTGAACAAAAGCTACCTCTTCTTCATCTCCTAGCTTGTGTATTGCGGCATTCATGTCTGCTTCGACAACAATGACAGGGTCATCGTCAGAGGGTAGTCTCATCTTCTGTTTGTTGACTGTGGATGGGTTGAAGCAGCAGTCCTGGAGTGATTTTAGAATTTCTTCAGCAATCTTCCTTTTGCCCTTCTTGTTGAAGTGTAGACCATGGTTCGTGTATAGGTGACGAGGCAAAAGATGAAGTTCTAGCAGTTTATTGTTCCCCTTTGAGCAATTCATTTTTTCAATTAGCTTATCATTTATGTCACTGATTTTGTTGTCTAATCTCGGTTTGTCGTGGCGCATAGGCAGTGAGGCAAAAACAAGGTTTGTGTTTGTGGTACCTAACAGCAAATTATCAAAGTCGCTCATCAGACTCTCCATTCTTCGGGTTTCCACATCATTGGTCCCACCAATCACCAGAATAAAGTCATTTTTATTAAAATCTTTTGAAAGGTCCTTAACATCCTTTATAACGTCAGCTAATAGTGCTCCCGGTTTTACCATTGCAGACACATTTAAGTTAGTTTTATACTGCACAAGATTGCTCAGACCTCGACCATGGCTATCAGCCAATATCAATAGTTTAGATTTACATTTTAGTTGTTTATAAACAACTGGCTTATTTTTCTTTGGTCTAGTATTAAACTGGAATGCAGGTGTTTTCTCATGTAAAATTTGTGCATCAGACACATATTGTTCTGATACGCTGTTGTTTTTGTTTGTTGAGGTTTCATCACTCTCTTTGGAGAGGACTGTAAACTTGTTGTGGCACTCGGTAGATGTAACTATTTGTTCCCTGCTGACTCTAGAGGTATTTTTGGGTTTTCGCCAGTCATTATTTATTGGTTTACTGGTTGTTGTCTTCATTGTAGGGAAACAGTTTAGACATTTCATCATATTTTTCTCAGCTTCTTGTGATTTTGTTCTATTCAGTTCTGTATTTTCATTCTGGAGGACAGTGACAACAGCCTCTAGAGACCTGATAGATTCTATCATATTTTTTGTCTCTTGCCCGTATACAATACATTTATCGCAGCTTCCGTTACTAGGGATTTTTTGGTAAGTGTCACTTTCATTAGTTGTTTGCAATGTAAGTTCAGAATTAATCTTTTTCAATGCAGCTATTTTATTTTCCAGGGATTTAATAATATCATTTAGCTCGCCTTCTTTTTCTTGTTGAATTTCAATCAGTTTTTTTATTTCATCATCTTTTGACTTTAATTTATCTTCCAATTCCAGTTCGTAATGCGATTTGGCAATTTTTGTTTCATGCAATGCTTGTTTTAGTTCTTCATTTTCACGCAGAATCGCACTACCTATTTCAGTTGCTAAATTAAGAGAGTCATCAAACTCATTTTCCACCAATGTTGTCATAGTTGTGAGACTTTTGTTTAGCAGTTCTTCATCTTCAGAATGATTTTCTAGGCAATTAGGACACTGCCATAACTGTTGTTCTTTTAATGGAAAATTTCTTACTTCATTATATTTTAGATTAACACATTTTAAGTGATTCCATTTTTTACAGAGTCCATTGCATAAAATGGCACCAGAATTTACATTTTTACCACACACTCCACAGGGATGTTTAGCATTTTTCATCATAATGAGAAGAAAATTAAATGTCTTGTTTTCTGTGTCAAAACATATTAGAAGATTTTTGGAATCAATCACCCAATTAAAACTTCTGCTGTTTTCCTTAATTATTTTAAATCATTGTATATTATGTTATTGTTCAACAAATAAAATGATAGAATACACTCCCCCGCGATGGGAATATGTGATGTGTGCGCACAGCTGACCAACTACAACTTTCGTTATGAAGAACAAAATTACACGAATAAGTAAATTTGTATTTCCTTTCTTCTTTATTCCTTACCATCTTTAAAATATGTTCAAACAGTTTGTTATGTTAAATCTTACACATTCTTTGTTGGTCTGTTTTTTTATTTATTTCGGGGGGTGGAGTGTTTCTACCCCCTGACCCCCCTCCCCCATTGGCTACGGCCTTCGACATAGTATATGGAAAAACTATTGTTTTCGTCAAATTTTTTGTGTTTGAGTTTTGAGTGGAAATATCCATTTTGGGGAACCTCGAACCCTTGACGGTCATTTCCAAAGTGATGTCTGTGTGTGCCGCTGTCCAATTTTTATGAAATCTGTTATGAGGGTGGGGTAGGCCTACTTTATATCTCCAGGGTTTTATTTTTTTTTTTGAAATTTTTATTTTTAATGAGGATTTTCTTAAAAAATCCCATAGAATAACAGAAAAATCAGACTTTTATAAAAGGCTCAAACGATTTTAATCTCAATTTAGTTTGTCATAGTCCTTTATACACTAAATAGAACCATAAAGCCTACATCCACCATTGCTGTGAGAATTTCGTTCAAAAGTGATTGCAGCTTTTGTGATTTCCCCTATAAAATATAGTTACACCCACCGCTTACCCATGATAAGGGTTGATGAGAAGCTAATTAGAGGAGGTATTTGTCAGATCGCTCAGATTGCTGATACCGTTTCGCGTTTAGTTAAATAAAAATTGGCTATAGCTAGACCATAAAGATGGGATGTTTTTGTATCAAAAAGTCAATGGTGAGACACAGCTACATTTCCGTTGTTTGCAGGCAAGATGCGCAAGAGAGGCTGTATCGTGTCCAAGCTGTTAGCCAAGATGATGTGCAACTCTGGTCTAACCCATATCATCACCATGGACCTTCACCAGAAGGAGATCCAAGGATTCTTTGAGTGTCCAGTGGACAACTTGCGAGCTTCCCCTTTCCTTCTGCAGTACATCCAAGAGTGTGTGAGTAGACAAGTGAAATTGTAATCTATTATTGTAAAGAAAAACCACTCTTGACTCTTGAGGTTTAGGTAACATAGAGCACTTGGGTCGACGATTTTGGGTTTCTTGTTAGACAGCCTTATCAGAACCGAATAAATTATTTCCTTGAATAAATCATATTTTATTCCTTATTTAAATAATGTTAGATTTAACGAGTACTTAGGCTTGCTACTTCAAGGAAGGAAAACCATTTTTGTAAGCTAAAGACAAGTTTGGGAGAAAGTTAATTAGTAGTTACCTTTCTGATAGATTACAGTCTGTGTATTTCAATGATTCTTTTTCTGTGTATTTGCCTGTTAAGACAGGAGTTCCGCAGGGATCAATTTTAGGCCCTACACTATTTCATTTGTCGTATATGTTAATGATCTGCCTTGTTCTGTTGTCAATTGTAATGTAAGTGCCTATATGTATGCTGATGACTTGGCTTTGCAAATAAGTTCTAGTGATGCTATCTTAGCGCAACAGTAATATGCTGAGGCCAATTCCATAATAATGGATTGGACTGCTGCCAATTCTTTGTGCCTGAATGAGAATAAAACTCAGAACCTGGAATTTAGTTATAAATGTTGTTAATTATAATGTAGTAAAGTTTTTAGGATTAAGTTTTCAATCAAACATCTAATGGAACCCCCATTTTGATCTGGCTTTTTTAAAGTGGCAAGGGGTGTTTTTATGTTAAGGAGACTTAAATATTTTGTTAGTATAGAAGTTTTAAAGGCTGTGTACTTTGCTCATATTCAGAGTCATCTTAAGTATTGTATTATTGTTTGGAGTCACTCTAGTAATTTAAAAAAAACTCCTAATCTTGCAGAAAAGAGCAGTTCGAGTGATGCTTAATGTTAGATCTAGGACTCATTGTCAGCCTCTGTTTAGGGAGCATAAAATATTAACTGTTGTGTCTTTGTATATATTGGATTGTTTAATGTATATCAGAAATAACTTGGATGATTTCCCTACAAACGAATCTGTACATTACCACAACACCAGGCAGCACTCTTTTCTCAGAATAAATCAGTGTAATTTTAAGTCTACAATTGTGAGTTTGGAAAAAAAGCTTTTAACTTGTTGTCGAGTAGGCTAATATAATATCAAATGTCTGAATTCTTTCAAGAACACCATAGTATCAATGTTATGTAGTTTAGCTGTTATACAATGTTGATGAATTTTTAGATCATCTAAGTTCCTTAAAATAGTTTTTAAACTTTTACCTTGACGTTGCTATACAATGTATTATTTGTTTTGGCAATAAACAATTTGATTTGATTTGATTTTTTAGGCCTATGTGTCAGATTGCTGATACTTATCAATAGGGACATTATTGGATGAATAAATATATGCTCACTCCTATTTTTCACAGAAGTAGAAGCTCATTTATGAGCTCTATTGTTGTTGTTTTTAAATTATTTTAAATGCATTATATTATGTTACTGCACAAATATTAATAATTTATTTATTTACAACGGTACTTCAATTCGTTACAAGGTTGGTTTACAAGTTAAATGCTCTAGGCCTAAGGAGTTTCTTAAACTTACAAATTCTTCGATCTTTTTGGTTTAAACTCAACTCAAACTCGAGAATTGAATTTTTTGCCAATTACTCGACTCAAACTCGACCTGAAAAACCTTGGCTCACACGTCTCTATTTATTATATTTCGTGGATGTATTTTAAGTGAAGTCATTTGCAATCAAATGATTCCCAGTGAAAACCACTACAGACATCCATCTCCCAGTCCTATTTACAAGGATTAGGTTTATAAGAGCTTCAGCTCTGTATATTTTACCGGCTGTGTAAATTCAAGTAAACTTGGAGTAAGGGCAAGACAAAGTTGAGGATTCTTGCATATAATAAAGACAAGCAACAGCATTTAAAAATTAAGTGACGGAAGTTTAAAAACATTTTATTATAATTCAATCATGTTTATAATTTCAGATTCCAGACTACCGAAATGCTGTGATAGTAGCCAGAAACCCTGGGTCAGCCAAGAAGGCAACTTCCTATGCTGAACGTTTACGATTGGGAATAGCTGTAATTCACGGAGAACAAAAGGTAAACTTATCTCATTTTCTCTCACCAATCACTAAATATTTATATAACATAACTAGCTATTACCCGTTAGCTTCGCCAGACATAATTTCGTGTTTTATTACTGCTATGAACCTGCTGAAAGCTATAATGGCATTATGCATTAATTTACCATTTAATATCTAACCATTAAAGCTATTGGCGTTAAACTAAGGGAAAACTTCTTCATTCACAACATTAACTGCCTTTTTACCAGGAGCTTCAAACTACTCTCTCTGGAACAACATACATAACGTTTTCGCCAAAATACTATTCACACTGTAAATCCTTTCACTTAGAATTTTAGGCATACCCTCAAACGGAATTTGCCAAAAGACCTAGTACAGTTATTTTTCCTACTTGGTATCATTTCCAAACTTTGCATACCTTAATCCACGATAAAAAGGTTTATGATTCACTTCAACCGCTATTACTTAAGCTAGATCCATGACCATCCATCCAAGTCGTGGTATTTAATTGATGCGATGACATGAAAGGAGAGCAAAAGAAACACCATTATGAATGGACTTTTATTGTAGCTGATTTTCTCAGGTAATTTGGCTGAACACTTATTATATTTTCGTCAAAAAACCTTACCCCAAGCTTTCTTCCATCAATATGTGTTGTAACATGTTTGTGTGTAGGAGGCAGAGAGTGACCAGGTGGACGGACGCTACTCGCCACCCCCTCCTCCTCTACTGTCCCGTACTGTGGGCGTAGCTGTGGGTGTCCCTCAGCACCCGGCCAAGGAGAAACCTCCTATCAATGTTGTGGGTGATGTCGGCGGCCGGATAGCAATCATGGTGGTAAGTTAAACCCGGATAATTATAATATTTGCAGTGAAGATAAGTTGTGGTAACTATTTTTATTTCCAAAATTTAACTGATAAGATTAGGTTGAGTGCCTACATTTTAAGGATGTTTGTAGGATAGCAGGTTTACCTGAATAGGAAAGAGCCTAGGTTTTCTGTTTCTTGTGTCAGAGTGAACTCTTAACTTTTAGTATTTTGTCTTGGAGCTTTCAGATATAATACTTCAATATTGGCATGCACCCCTGTTCTTTTAAGATATTTGAGCTTAGTACTAATTGAGTTGGTAGTCATTATCTGCAGCTAGTCCAAATGGTGTCCTTCAGTATTCAGCTGTATTACAAAGCTCTCTGTTGTCAGGATGACATGGTGGATGACGTTCAGTCGTTTGTTGCTGCCGCCGAGGTGCTCAAGGAGAGAGGAGCTTACAAGATCTACGTGCTGGCGACCCACGGACTCCTCAGTTCCGACGCACCTAGACTGATTGAAGACTCTCCCATCGATGAGGTGAGTGGGTGAACTAGCTGATTCTCTTCCAGTGCATTGCAGAGGTTACCTCTACACGCGTGGATTTATTTAAAAATAATTGATAAGTTTGCGTTAAGAAATCTAGCTTTTGTGTACTTCTCTTGAGGTAATGCATTCACCACATTAGATTTTGGTTATTGGAAGGGACTGGTTTTAATTTTTGTCGGAGTACGGAGGTAGCTCTCTAGAAATGCTTATAGAGTTTAAGGCTCTCCAAAAATTACTCTCATACTTTGGTACTTTTGGTTAGAGGACTTTTTGAGTTTTGCATACGTACAATACAAACTTAGATTATCTTGTGTTATTTGACCAGAGAAAGTTAATTAAATAAGTCATAGAACCTTAGGTTGGTCTTTGAGAAAAATGGTTCAACATTGGCTGCTGCCTGCGAGATTAACCGCACGTAATACCTGGCCTGAGGGTAGTGCGGAAGTACTCGAGCCCTTGTCGTCGAAATATAAATGTGTCAGTACATCTGTCCGGCGATAAATTTGTTTCCCCCCAAAAAAGCAGATATTTAAGAGTAAAACTTGTTGAATATTTATTTTGAACAAACTGGTTCAAATAAAGTGTTAAGAAAGTAAATCGGTTTAAATGGTTTGAAATTTTAAAGATACTGACATTTCTCAAGATTGAACCAGCAACTTGACGACTGTCAGGCGGGCACAATCAGTTAAACTCATAGAATACTATAATATCTACTGTATATGCTGAATGTAAATAAACACCAATACATCTTCACCAATGAATAAAGCCAATACATAAAGCCGTGACGGTTTTGTGTCTGCAGGTAGTGGTTACAAACACCATTCCACACGAGATCCAGAAGTTGCAATGTCACAAGATTAAGACAGTGGACATCAGCGTGTTGTTGGCTGAGGCTATCCGTCGCATCCACAACAAGGAGTCTATGAGCTACCTGTTCAAGAATGTTACTCTGGAGGATTAGGTAGGTTTAGGTGCAACAGCGGATTTGGGAGGTTAACTAATGGATACGAGAGCAGAGGTATCAGCAAACTGACTCATACTTTCTTTCATTAACTTGTTTGACATTTATCATTGGTTGCAGTGGGAGTAACTGTGCAATTTTATGAGTAAAATCACAAAAGTTGCAATAGCATTTGAACCTTAATCGTTACAGCATTGGAGGTTGTACCATTTTGTTCAGTGATAAAAGTACCGTAACGTATTAAATTTTAATCAAATTCGCTCCAGCCGTTTATGCAAAAATCCAGTTTTTCCATTATTTCATGGGAAAATCACAATAAAAAAATCTCCTGGAGATACCATACTATCCAGATACCAAATTTTATCAAAATCAGATACAAACATCACTTCAAAGACTACCAGAAACAGATATTTCCACACAAAACTCAAACATGTTAACGAAAACAATACTTTCTCCATATACTATGTACCTATAGGGGAAAAAGTAAGTGTTGTATTTATTTATTAAAATACATCACATAACGCCTAAGGAGTGCTTCTGCACGCAGGCAGGTAAATTGTCAAAATATACATTGTGTACTAGTATAGAATAAAAGCAACATAATAATAAATATAGTAATAAACATAATAAGAATAAAGTATTAACAGTATCGAACAGTATTGAAAAACAAGTATAATATAAGTTAGGTTATTAGCAAAGTTTACAAATAAGTTATATCAATGTCAATAAGTTATGTTTACTACAATCAGACTGATAAAAATCCTCAATTCTGTAAAAACAATTGTCTAACAGGTAAGACAGTAAGTGTAACCGGAACTTTTTAAATGATTCTACCTCTCTCAGTGATAAAGGAAGCTTATTATACAGTTTGAGACCCATATAAAAAGTACTCTTTTCATAAGCAGCAGATTTATGTATGGGGTACTGCAACACAGAGCTCAAGGGCCTAAAGCTGTATTGGGAGTTAGTTCTTTTTTCTTTTGTCTGTATGTAGGTGTTTCATCAGTAAGGTACCAAACTTCAGGAAGAAGTTTCAAAAAGATTTGTAAAAAAATTTGATCCACTATTTCCTGGAGTTTGTCACTTTCCTTATGAAACACCGGGAAGCCTTCCACATATTGTTAGAATGTTCTTCCTTTTTGGGCATTTGCATGAGATTCCTTGGAATAGCTTGCAATCAATTGTATTCCGTAGGAAAGAAACAATATCAAAGAAATTCTCAAGGTTATTAAAGGAACTAGGGTTTTGGGATAAGTCAATTTTGAGGCATAAGTCCCTGTGGGTCTGAGGGTGCCTAAGAAACATATCGTCTCCCAAATACACTGATGCATTCATTCCTTTTAAATAAGGACTGTGTTTAGGCTTATTCTGTCGGATGGTCTTTAATCCTTTTTGCCTGAGAGATCTCTTTGCTTTAAAAAAACTTTCAACTTAAAGTCTCATTATGTTATATTTCCTTTGGTCTTACCTTTTTCTCTTTCATCATTCACAAGTAATTAATTAAGACTTAAGTTTTTATGTTTTTTACAGGAGACAATTCCTCAACCCAATTTTAGCGGATGGACTATTTGGATCATTGAATTGAGCAACTGGAAATATTTTCTTATCAAAATATGAGTGTATGAGTAGTTATAAGATTAGACTGTAGGTGTTAATATTATCTAAACCTATTATTGTAAGTTAAGATCATGGGTGCACTATAAAACATTATTTTTGTATGAAAGATAATTACTTTATTGTCCTTATACTTAGATTGTTATTTAATCACATTCAGTTTATTTAAATGCCATATTTCTTTCTGAAAAATGTTATTTTTTCCCATTATACAGACCTATACTTAGAGAATCAAATTCGATATTGTCAAATTGATGTTTTGTAAGCTATCACAATATTTAGGTAGGTTACAATAAATATCTTTATGTTTTGTGAATAAAACTCTAAAGTTTTCTCTTTGTTATTTATTTAACCTAACAGATAAGATTATAAATTAAATTAATCCCCCTAAAATCTATATATTAATTTGAAACGGTTTTTCTTTGTGACAGCTGATTTGAGAGAACGGCTGGGCGTAGAAACTCGGTAGAGGTGTCTAAAGAAAGGGCTTGGTCTGTAGATGAGCCATCAAAAAAGAAACGTGGTAAATTTCCTTGGGGCTCTGCCCCAGTGGCCTTTAAATCCCCATCCCATGTTATTGTTATGGGGGGAAAACGGGTTTTTGTCACAGCTAATTTCAGACAACGGCTGGGCGTAGAAACTTGGTAGGGGTCTCTAAAGAAAGGTCTTCGTCTGTAGATGAGCCATCAAAAGAAGAACGAACTAAATTCCCTTGGGGCTCTGCCCCTGAGGCCTTTAAAGACCCCTCAGCAGATTTGTTTACATTATGACCATATGTATAATTTTACACTACTTTTTAATAAAACAGCTGTTAATATTTAAATTGTGATTTACTGAATTTGTCAAAATGAAGTGTTTCTGTTTTTAAAATCGATTTTCTTCTGCATCGTGTCATGTTTTGCAATATAATGTACTAAAATCAGTGGAAAATCCTAATATCACAGTAAACTCTTAAAATTATTTCTTATGGAGTCAACTTATGTCTATTGTCAGGGTTAGTTTCTGACTTTTTTACCACTTCTTGGAGATTGTACGTAGGTGATATTCTTTGGCGTATTGCATCTGTAGACGATACTTGGGTTGGTGTAGTTATTACAATGGAAAAAGCGAGAAATCCTGGACAATTTGATATAGGCCTACTAAAAATAAAACTGAATTAACAATGTGCTACATTTCTTGAGCAATCATTGAAAGAGCCGATTTGCAAAAAATGGAAACATAAGAAAGTCATAGAACACAACCAAGTAGAAGAAATAGAAATAATGTGTTTTTTCTTCATTTATATTCGTTATTATAGAGAACCTTATGAGGCTATGAGTGGGAAACATTTGTAGAAAACTCTAAAAAACAAGAGTATTTCCATTATCATTGAGTCGACTTTTATAAAGTTATCGGAAATTATGACCGTTATTCGTTTTAAAATAACGTCTGTAATGCTTCGCAATTGCTCGAATTCGAGCAACAGGTACACTAGTAATAAATGAATTAGGAAATTGAACAAATAAAGTTTGGGGGAAATATGTAGGAGTTCTCAAGACCTTGATTAACAATAAGTAAGTTTATAATAATTATTAATTAATAACAACTCCAGTTAATGAATTAAAAAACATTTGAACCGAGTTGGATCTAGAACAAAGAAAGAAATTGATCTGAATGTCTGTACAGTTTATTTTTAATACTGTTTACTTATTTATAGTTTTATTTGTCCTTTGACAGTAGAAATAAATAAACACAAACATTTTATAAACTTACAAGAGGTTCTACCCGCAAATTCACGGGTGTACAGAAGCCACCATTAAATTAATTTAATCAACTTCGACTTTATATTTCACTTAAAGGGCCCAAGCTCGCGAAAATGTCGTCTTAAAGGATGTTAAAAGCAGTGGAACCTTCATACCTTACGTCCTGAGGTGGCCGAGGTGGGTACGGGTGTACCTGAACTCGCCGCTATCTTTCACGACGTCTGTAATACTTTAATACTTTTCAATGAAATGACAACCTGTTAAAGATCGGTGACAAACTCTTGGAACGAACAACATACATGGTTTGTTAATCTCATATTCATCGTGATTACCCACTTGTATCAAACAGAAAAAGCTTCACTGTCCACCATTGATCTCTAGAGATCGATGCTGTCCACTCACCGAACCTGTTTTAAGAACACAAAACTAAATAATAAAATAAGTAAACAAAAATCTAAACAAACAAACTATATTGTCAATTGCATTTGCCAGCTGTTGTTCACTAAATTAATCGAATAACTTTAACTCCCAAAACATGCAAGGCGTAGCCCTTTGGAAATCAGCCTGTGGGGCAGAGCCCTTAGGGAGTTCGTCCATATCAATACTTTTCGGCAAATCTACACACTCTGAGCTTAATTTTGATATGCCATATGCCTATATTTTTACTTGATAAATGACCTTAACCGTTTACATAAAATTTGATTGTATCACTTTAATAATATAATAGACGTTACAAAAACGCCCATAAAATACAGATGCTGCTATGATAGCTGGAGATGCATGTGATATCCTGATATTCTGGTGTTGCAAGTTTTGAAAGTCCATTGTAGATTTGAAACCGATTCATAATGAAATAGCCATTGAACAGTGATAAGTTCTAATCGTATTGAAATAATAAATTTAACTTGGATTTGATATTTGAGCCTCAAAATTTGGATTTTGATTAATTGAAAATTTCTTGACTCTACCTTAGCTATAATGTCTGAGGTTACCAACCAAAACCAAGATTTAAAAAAAAAAAATAAGATTAGGTAAAACTAAAAATTCAACTTTGTGTATATTTCCTAAGTAATCCTATTTTTGAGAGTAAAACTAGCGGAAATTTAATAGAAAAGAGGACCACCTTTCTAGAAAGTACAGTAATTGGTACAGGTTCATTCAGGTCACTTTCTTTCATTCTTAATTCATTAGGCTACTGTATATTCTGTATAAAAAGATAGAAAACACAGCATTGATATGAACTAAGTTTTTTATTCTTATAATATCAACAACACATATTTCTGCAATATTTTACATGTTTACATAGTTGCCTGTATTAAACGACCCAGGCCGAGATGAGAGAGGATGTAATTATATAACCATGCTGATAACATTGGTTACTATGAGACTGATAGACAGCCTGCTTTTACTAGTTGATCCTTGGCACTTTCTTTGAGCTGTTGAAGCCTTCTAGTGAGAGGCGTTACTAGAGTTCCGACCCATTCTTCTATAGTTTTGTTGTAATATACTTCTGTAAGATGTTCCTGCAGATACCTTTCTAGCGAGGACCATTCTTGAAGCAACCTGCACACGGGGTTCCGTTTAAATGTAGTTATTAACAAATGATACATATCACAAAGAGGGTTAGACATTTTATTTTACTGTATATTGAATTGGAACTGTACCTCATGCCCGACACTTCATCAGCGCTTAAGGGTGATCGTTTTCCCATAATTTTATGACATCACTTCCCTTCCTGTTGAGTTTATGCTCTAACTTTATCTGAATTGATATTCATCATGAAATTTGTGACAATAAATTTCAGTTGCCTGACATTTTTTTAAACATTTTATTACCAGTCAAAGTGTAAGTAAAACAGATAGTAATCTTGATAGTGTTATACTTACTCATTGAAACTATTGTAGAGACTTGATATCTGCATAGGATTGGTGAAATTGTTTTCAATCTGCCAAGGATTGAGCCAAGTGTTGACCCTGTAAATTGTGTCAAACATTTATTAAATTAACCAATGAACCTTTCACGGATACACATTTTGACTAATATAATATATATAAATACCTCGTCACAGCTCTGAAGTTGCTGTATATTACAGCTGTTTCGGCATCAAAATGCCATCATCAGATACACATATATCCACCTAAATTGGCAGGCCTGTCCCTTGTTTTACGTGTTTTTATGTTTTTATCGTGTTCGTGTGTGTACAGATTAACGACGCCAATTTAGGTGGATATATGTGTATCTGATGATGGCATTTTGATGCCGAAACAGCTGTAATATACAGCAACTTTAGAGCTGTGACGAGGTATTTATATATATTATATTAGTCATCTAGTCAGCTCAGGGGCTAAACCATGTCTATTGATACACATTTTGTTTGAAAAATTGTAAAGAAACTGAGCCAAATAACTTACTGATCACTATCGGTGATAAATGACTGCTTGGCTCGTAGGTTGGCTAACCACTCCACACCAACCGCCAACTTCCACCCAGGGTATGATAGTTCCTGGGCAATAACCTGAGGGAGGTAAAAAGTGCAAGTTATTACAAAATAAGAACAGAAGATAATCTGCAAACCAAGCTAGTATAGGTGTTTTAAACACAATGAAACAGGAAGTGAAAAAACACGCTTTACTTGATATAGTTGAGGAATTGAATGTTGCAAATCTCCTAATTAAAGAAGAGGCATTCAAAAAGGAAATCAAAGCAATTCTGGTTACGGGTACATACTGAAATGAACAGGAGAAAATGAAAAAAGATTTTGCCTGAATTCATGATTACTCAATCTAATACTGCTTTGGCACTGACAACTACAAGAAATGCATTAAAACACTACTTATTTATTACGAGTTGATAACTAACTTTTATTGTTTTAAGAATCAAGAATTTTTTTCATCCCAAGTGCTATGTTGGGACCGATAGTAGAAGATAGAAAATGGAGGATAAGAAAAAAACAAAGAATTGAGGGACATTTATACATATGTCCCCGACAATTAACACAAAAAGCAAAAGCCAAAGACTAAGATGGGCTGGACACATCTATAGAAGACCAAGAGAGTCAAATTTAAGAGTGGTTTTAGACGCAGTTCCTGCAGGCAGGCAACAGCTGGGCAGACCGAGATTGCGGTGGTGGGACCAAGTCCGAAAAGATATGAGAAGAATGAAAGTTATGGAAGACCGAGGAAGACGGTGAAAAGTTGTTGAGGCCAAAGACCTGCTTAGGCTTGAGTGGCCAACTAGGTAAGGTAAAGTAAGCGCTATGTACAATAGATGCAATGTATGAAAGTCAATAAAATCTAATAGTTTACAGGCAAGACAAGAGCAACTTTAAAACAAGTGCAGTGTTCAACATGCAAAGTATTCCATGTTTTACATGATAATTGCAAAGTTTAAGGATTATTGTATACATTTTCTATATGTTATTATTAGTAAAAACATTGACTATTGGATACTGAAGCAGACGTCCCATCTATATGGACCAACTGTAGCCACTTTTATGTTAAAAAAGAATGTAGTTGTGTGAGTCTGTCACATGCGCTAGTGACTAAAACTCGTAATTAGTGACTAATTTTAGTGACTAAAATTTTCTACCTTATTTTTTGTTGCTAACCAAAGTCATAGCTCACCATGAGTCATTCCATTAGTTTGATTTGGTAAAAAAGATAGTGTATTCGACAGAAATCAGTAATTTAGATCAGCACAATCTTTTTGGTGGCTCACATCAACTACGACGATTTTGGTCAAAAAACTGGCTACAAATTTAACATGGAGATGGATTGTCTAGTTGTATTAATAGTAGGGATCCCAGACGTCCTCATTTCCCCGGACACATTCTCTTTTTGGGTACATAAAAAACGTCCGGGGAGATTTTCGGCAAAACCTTAAAATGTCCGTGATTTAGACAAAAAAATAAATAAATAAAATTATTCCTGAATGCATAGTAAGCTTAGTATTAGTAATTGCCTCTAATCATCAATCACCAAGGATGACAATGAAATTGGAAACTAACTTAAATTAAAATATTGAGTCACTAAAGTGATATCTTATATTTAGAAGTTTTGTTTCCTTTATGGATCAAATTTTGTGTTTAAAGCTTAAGCCTGTTGGCAAAATTAGCCCAGCTGTCTCTGTCTCTGCTCACCTCCACCCAGACCAGCGACTATCTTAACTACAGCTAGCTCCTCGTCCGCTTTCTGCTTACGTTTACACTCCTACACACATACACCCTTACATTAAAATAATGTTCTTCTTGTTATGTCATTCTTGAACAACAACAAGAATCATCATCTTGTCTTGTCATTCTTGGGGGTGTTCCTAGACCCTACTAATGCCAAAAAGAAAATGTCTATTTTCAGTTAAGTTTAAAAAGGTATTAGTTGCGAAAAAGTTTACTTGTTCAAAAAAATGTACAGAACTCCAACCTTTAAGCAGTTGCATCATCCTCTGGATTTACAGTTTTGTTCTTTAACTCAATACATTTTACTCGTGTTGCTGAAGAAACTGCATTTCACACTGTAGTAAAAACATCACCAGAGTTTGGAGTCCATGGATTGTATCACTAAACTTCAAAATGTGTTGTTTAAAGACTCCTAGTCTTGCAAAACATATTTCTAATCCAGTAGTTTGATATTAAGTGAGGGGGGTCCAGTAATCCAGACAAAAGTTTTGGAGTTAAAAGCCCAAGTTTCCAATTTTTTTCAATAGCATTTTTAACATAAGCATGCCTATGCCTGAATGACCATTAAAAGCAAATATTTTAGTGATAGTAAAGAATTGGCTAGCAAATTGAAAATTCTAGTTTACACTTTCTAAAACTTACAATATATAACTTAGGCTATGTTTTTAGGAATTGTCAGACAATATTCAGTTTAAAAAAATTCCAAAATGCTGAAAGAACCTAAATAAATAGTCTAAAAACTTTTTAAAAATAAGGCCTTAAAACGCATTAGAGTAATTCTAAATTTAAAAAACATTTAGGTAAGCCCCCCACCCTCCAAGGTAAGTTCCGCGAGTCATAATTGTCCTCTTTTTTTAAGGGTCCTTTTTTTGTCCTCTAATTAATAGTCAAAGGTAAAACTCAAGTTTAACTTGCATAATCCTTGTAACAACGTACACATCATCAACAACAAACCTTCTAGTATCACAAAATATCCAATCTATAAATAAATTGCTTTCTTATTCTATTACTTTAGTCTTAAGTCATTATGTTCCTTAAACCTAGACTCTTATTATTCAGATAAGCATGCTACCCCAACAACAATCACAAAAATAAGTTTGGCTTTAATGTTTTTAACGAACAATAATTAAATAAAGTGACCGAAAAGCAAACTGAGTTAGTTTTGGAACATTTACCTGAGGTTTTGGGTACGGGTTCAACTGTATTTTCTCCGAATACCCGAGCTCTTTGCTGACAACACTTAACAGCGAGTCATCATACTTGCGGGAAATCCAGGTACGTAAACACAGAGCCAATGAGGGTAGTGAGGGAGGAAGCAGCTCGCACAGTGTTGCGTAGTGGTCGTACCTGCAGACATATGTGTGTAGTAACACATGGTACATTTGTACAATAATGATACATCGCACAAGTTGTTTGATTAGATCAGGGGTCTTCAAACTTTTTTACTCAAGGAGTCAAGGGCCACATTGAGAATTTTTGGAGGAAAGGCGGGCCGGGCCGGACCGTCAAATTTCAGTGTAGAAGGGTAGCCCCTCAAAATAACTAACATAGAGGTAGTTTTCTAAATAAGAGCTCATTGATGAAGTGTTTACATTTCTTGCTGATTTTTTTGTTAGTCTTTAACCTTTTGACTAGCCCTAACTAAAATTCTGTACGCTTTTGCAAATGATACTGTGACCAAACAAAGTAATTGACCTACATGACATAATTATTTATGGGTATATAAACGGTGTTCCTCATACTTTATCATCATATCACAAATCATAATAAACTGGATATCATCACAGAAATTTTACTGATACCGCAAGAGATGTTTGCAGTGCAGTCGCGGTCTTGGGAGACGATCGCGGTATTGCCGAGACCGCAAAAATGCTCGTGGTGTTGCCGCGATCGTGAATGACAATCGTGTTATCACTGAGTCTCCAATATTCACTGTCGGGTTGCCGCGATTGCGAATGAGAATCATACCAAGATTGCAACATTTACTTGCGGGTGTTGCCGCTACAGTGAGTGCATGACGACCATGGTATTGCCAAAATCTCAAAATATGATCGCGAATGACGATCAAGTTATTACTGAGACAGCAAACAATACTCACGAGTGTGGCTGCGATCGCGACTGACGATCACATTATTACCGAGATTGCGACCTCCTCCTCAGACATTTTTGGTGTGGCAGAGATCTGGCTTCAACCTGACACTCCAGGATACAGTTTGTTGCGCTCTGATCACCACCACATTTCTGGCTTATCTGAGGAGGAGGAAGCCGGTGGGGGCATTGCTTTACACATCAGGGAAGGAATTATGTATGGCCAACATATTTTTCCAGACAACCTTCCACCTGGTATAGAAACACTTTCTGTTGTCATAAGGCTGAAAAGTCAGAGACTGGGTCTGTGTGTGGTATACGGGCCTCCAAATGCAAGATGTATGGAGTAAAGGAGGTGGGCCAGACAGAGCGGACTGCGCGCGATGACGTCACTGCAGTCCCGGCCGCGGCTGCTTCGCCGCTAGATACATGCTAAACGCAAAAAACCTTACTTTTTCAGACACGATTTATGCTGGTTTGGAGGAGGTATTTACTGTTATGACACAAATATCTTTGTGTACTAAATAATGATTTTTATGATTTTGAACTAAACATGAATTATTGTGAACAGTTTGACAATAGTAAATAACCAATTAGGCCTGAATGTTGCATAGAAAGTGATGAAATGCGGGCGTCTACCGATTCAGTTGGAATAATATTACACTTAAGAATTATTATAGATTAAGATATAACACTCCCCTTTTTCAGGTCAGTTAATAAAAAATATCTTTAGCACTAGGTAAAAAAGTTGCCTGTTTAAAAGTTACTTCAACTGCTTTTTGGTGTTAGTTATAAATGACGTCATCCTTTTTCATGTTTTATTTATTTTTTTCCTTTTTAATGATAAACTTATTTGGGTTTGTTGATAAAAAAAAAACAACAACCAATTATTTAATAGTTTACATGAGAATCATAAATGTTGCTTACAAATCAAAGTCAACTACGATACTGTATTACTATTTTACAGGAATTAAATAGACCACAAAAATCTGTTTGGATAAATGGCATTGACCAAAGAATACGCTCAGAGAATACTAATGATTTTCCCCGAGGAAAGCTTGTTTCACAGGTACTTTTAAAGAAAAATATTAATTCCGTATGTATAAACATATGTTTCATTTTAGACTTTATTATTTTCGTGTTAAGAGGATTTTCTCTTTTATGTAAGTGCACGTTGTTCGGTGTTTTTATACGAGTTTACTTTCTGAGATAAAAAGTGCTAGCTATATATATATAATGACAGTTACCTATTTTAAAACTAAAACTCAATCCGACATAAGAGTCATATTTTATTCGCAAACAAAATATGCTTTGTCTTTATTGAAATGTGCAAAAGAAACGATTTTTGGATTTCAATCATTTTTATATTTGTTTATTTTGAAGATGTTTAAAGGAATTAATTTCATGATTATTGAGTTTGGGGAATGTTAAACATTCGTGAGCCCTGAATCAAACTTGTGTCTACTGAACACAGTATTATCGCAGTGATGCGGAGGAATGTTCTTCAAAACGAAAATTGAGAAAACTTTACCGGGAAAACAACATAGTAGAGTCTAATGATATTGAAGTTTTTTTAATCAGGCAAAAACAAATGAACAGCAACAAAAAATCAAAAACAATCAACTAAGAAACGTCATCGTCAGTACTAAATTTAAGAGTAAGTAAAAGATTTCAAGAACTCTACAACTCAATGTGTTTATATCTGATTGCATGTCCAATGGTGAGAGATACACTTTGTAAATAAAGTGTTTTTATTTCAAATGTGTTTTCTTTCCATTCATAAAAATATAAATCTCCAATCCTAATTACACTAATCTAATGATGATTGTACATTACCAAAAGCTACTTTTATTTTGTATATCTGTATAGTGAAAAATGTTTGTTTGATTTAAATAATAATTTGAAAAATATTAAGGGTATCTAATTTAGTTACTAATATATTCATGAACAACTGTAGTTAAGTAGGCTATCCTAAACATATATAGATCATAAAATTAGATGCTATTTACCGGATCAGAGTAGATCCTTAGTGATATAACAACAATTGCAGAAATAGACATCAATTTAATCAACAATTGCTCTAATATTTGAGTAGTAATATAATAAGGAATAACATATTAATATATTTAAAACCAAGCAAAACCAATTTTAACAATTGCGTAGTACAAACTGGCGTAAACAGCGCAAAACAACATCTAAAAGTGTTGTGTACGGGCTGTGAGTAGCGGCTCGAGGACTGCAGTGACGTCACTGCCTCAGTCCGATGGGCGAGGGGGGAGAGGGGCGCGCTCTGTCTGGCCCACCTCTTTTACTCCATGCATCTTGCTCCAAATGTACGATACACTAACCTTGCTTCTTTGTTCCACTCCCTATTTGTTGACTTAGCAGTTGAAGTTGGCTCTGTGATCTGTCTAGGTGACACAAACGTTGATCTTACCGAGACTGAGACATTTGCTTACAGGTGTTGCCACCACTTTGACTATCATCAATTTATAACAATTATATAAAATTAATTATTTCCCAGTAAGCCTTCGTGGGCCGCATCCGGCCCCCGGGCCGTAGGATGGAGACCCCTGGTTTAGATGATAGCTTTTTTACTGACTACCAGCTGTTTCTTCAGCCAGGATCATTAATTGAAAGCCTGATGATCAAGGACAGCTGGGTCCAGTTTAACACTAAGAAAGCTCCCCTATTCTCAGGATCAAACTGGTGACTTTCTGATTGAGAAACTAACACTATATCTACTTGGTAAGGCTCTGGGGAGCGAGCTGGCGTAGTGGTTAGAGCGCGGGACTTCAGTCCCTGAGGTCCAGGGTTCGATCCCCGCCAAGTCACCAATGGATTTTATCTAAGTGATAATGCCGCAACCCCTAGGTCTAGCCTGAAGTAATGTGAAAAACAATCCCAAGCTCGTGCCTAGCGTCCTTGGAAACAAAAAAAAAACTTAAGGCTCTAGCGCGCCAGATTTACGAGTGTCTAGTAAAACCTGTTATAGAAATGAAAGAAGGCATATTAGTTACCTTGACCAGCCAGTCAGTACGATGCCACAGATCTGGAACCTCCCCTCCACCTGTGCGGCCGTCGCCAGCCATTTTTGATGGTTGGAGATGTGTTGTGAGACAACAGGCAGCATTTGACAACTACCAGTCGCTCCCTTGTAGGCCGAGGCGAACCAAACACGACCAAACACCAAACTGTACTTGGCCCACATGTCTACAGAAAAATTATATTTGTGGGAATTTAATATAAATTGCATAGTGAGAAATCAGAAAATAAACTAAACTGAAAATGGTGATTATAGTCGTGGACTGGGTATCTCTGGACCAGGAAATGGAGACCTACCTGCCTTGGCTAATGTGGGGTGGCCCGCCCGGCCGACCCTAATTATTGTCGCTTGGCTGGGCTCAACGAAAATTAGGTCTCCTTTTCCTGGTCCAGAGATACCCAGTACACGACAATAGTGATATTTTTTTACGAGAAAAAGGTTTCCAACATTTAAACATTATTAAACACAGTGATTAATAAGGTTTGTAAAGAACCTTATTGGTTCACAACACATCGGTAACGGTAACACATAAATTTCGTATTAGATTTAGTCTCCAGTTGCTATTACATGGCAACTAAAATAAACAGTATCAGCTAACTGACACATACTGTCTCCCATAAGCTTGTAAACAACCTTTATCATGGGTAAGCAGTGGGAGTAACTATAATATTCTATAGGATTGGATCACAAAAGTTGCAATAACTTTTAAACCGTAATTGTTACAGCAATGGGGGGTTTCACTATTTTTGTTTAGAATCATAAGGACCATAACACATAATTTTAATCAAAACCGGCTTTTTTCCTAAAATTCAATATTTTGTTTTTTAATGGGGTTTTTATGGGAAATAACCATACTTGGGAATAACGAATAGAAATTCTAACGAATAGCGCTATTCGTTCGTTTTTTGGCTTACTTCTATTTTATTCGTTAGTTTTTAAAAAAGCTGGAAATAACTTCTACTCAGTTAGTTTAATAGACAACGAATAGATAATATATTCGTTAGTTTTAAATCGTTAGCTTTTCTGGTCAGGCGAAAGTATTTCCAGTACGGGTTATTTATTTTACGTGATCAGTGAGGGTTGCGTGTTGCATGCGTACGTGAGAGGTCAGCGCCCTTGTGACAAACAACGTGGGGGGTGGGGAAAGAGAAAGTCAAAGTCCAGTCGCTTTGGTATGCAGCGGACCCGGGGGGCGAGCCAATGGCAGCCAATAACAACACCCCAAGCACCGAAGGGTGGGAAGGGGGAATGTTTGTTTGGCGATTGATATGTACTGTAATCTCAAGGGTCAAAACAATGTCTTCACTTCAGTCGATGTTCAATATCTGATCGTGACAGGTGTTAATTTTTTGTTACCTTGTCGTTATATATATATTTTTGTGATAGTTAAATACTTTAAATACATAAGTTATTAAGGTGAACAGTTTTAATTAAGTAGAAGTAGATTAATAATATTTGGTTTGCAATGGCGGGCGAGTGTGATATCAAGTGACCAATCTTTGAAATATTTCAACAAGTTGAAAAAATTAAAAGGGTCGAAACGCGTTAAAATGTTTGTTGTGTTTGTACCCAAAACAAAAATAATTAAAGCATCTGGCACAAGTGCTTCGAGGTAAGTGGAGAAAAAGTATGATGGTCTCGTTTTTAACTTGAAGTGGAACAGGCCTGTATATTTTTTAAATTTTTTTACTGAATATAATTTTTATTTTTTAGTACAGTTATAGTGTATTTCTCAGTGTGTTCCCCATGATCTTTTAAACTTTATCTCGCCACAAATAGGTCACTTTTAAATTTAGTAGTAAACTATACTTTTATCACACTGGAAAAACTACTTCATCAGACTTTAAAAAATATCTGATATTTCGTAATCCATTAATTGCTGTCAATTAATTGTTGTACAATAAATTTTAGTGTAAAATTCAGCTAATTGAACATCAACAAACTGTCTTTTTACCTAACCGGGAACTTCAGTTGTAACTTATGTTTGTGTATCGAAAGTAATGTTTACGTCAGGAAAGGTGAGATGATCACTATTTGTTTTTGTCTTTTGAACTATTGAAAATAGATTGATGACAAGTTTTTGTATCACCTTTGTCGGGGAAATATATATGTACACTCGAGTTTGAGCCTAAATATATCTGAGATGAATTATCCGATTTTGTTGAAACAAAAATAAAATATAAGCTGGTTTAGATACATTTTACGTGGTGTCAATTAAAAAAATGTCCGTTTTCCAGAAAAATTTATATAGTTGAAAGATCCTAAAAAGTACCGGTTTTTAAGAAACTCTGCACGAACACTGAAGTTTAAAATTTATTTGTAAACAAACCACTAAACCAATCGTTCTGAAATTTGTATGGCTTATTGGTAGGTTCATTGTTAACATTTCCATACATTTAAAAAATTTTATTCACAATAGTTTTTATGCTGCTGTTGCTGTTAATTTTTAAAACGTATGCTAACATAGTTAATAAGACACTGAAAATTTCGTTCAAAATACCATCGTGTTTGCCGTGACACAAGAAATAACACCAATATGACAGATTTTATAATGCGAACAAAGGTGGTTTTTAAACAGATTTATATTTGTAGACAAAAATTTCTCCCGTGACTGGTAGCGGGCCACCTGGTGTTTGTACGATATTTCCCAGCCGGGTGGGAGCAAGTGCAAATTTGCGACATTGCCAATGTGTACCTGGCCACCACACTGACATTGCATCGGTATTCACTCACGGCAAACTACTGTGTAAATCATTATTTAGTTATAAATTTACATAAATTTACTAACAAAATATTCTCTAGTCATGAAACAAATACATTATAATAAGATAACTACAAATATAAATCTACAAATTAAAAAACACCTTTGTTCACTGCGAACGCCTGTTCAGAGCGGCAAGCCTAGTCATCACTAACAGAGTAACAGACGAGGAAGAATCAGCGACACCAATTTTGAAAAACAACTTCTTTTAAAGTTTAATAGGCATTTAATTTTAAGTAAATTTTGTTGTAGTAATGAATGTTTTTACATTACATGTAATGTAAATGTGACGATGTTTAATTAATATTTAATTAAAACACAATAATTAGTAACCGAGATGTGTCATTATTTCATTACATATGAAATCCTTTAAAACAACCATGCAACAAACAGCTATCTTCTACAAATGTCGAAAACTAACTTTATTTTCTTTTTATTCTTTTTATTAACTTAACTTCTATCAGTTACTTTTTAAACTAACTAACTAGTAACTTCTATCAGTTACTTTTTATGGGACTAACTTCTAACTAGAAGTTAGAAATTTTGACTAACTTTCCCAACTATGGAAATAACATAAGTTACAATAACTTTTGAACCATACTTTTTACGGAAATAGGATCCGTACAATTTTGTTAAAAATTTTAAGGACCATAACATACTAATTTTAATTAAAACTGGCCTTTTTTCTAATATCCAATTTTTTTATGGGAAAATAACATAAGTTACAATAACTTGGGAATCCTAATTTTTACGGAAATGGAATTCGTACCATTTTGTTTAGAATTTAAAGGACTATAACATCCAAAATTTTTATCAAAATCTTTTAGGCCGTTTTCAAGAAAATCTGATTTTTTTGTGTTTTATGGGAAAATCACCATTTAAAATTAAAGCTTTGACATAATTGAAAAAAAACACCTGATGGATTAGTACATTTGTACCGAATTTCATAAAAATCGGACGACATGTGTGGTCTGTAGCTCTGTACACATCCACACACACACACACAGACATCACTTCGATAACCACTTTTTTGGGTTCAGGGGGACCCAAAACGGATATATCCACTCAAAATTCAAACTCAAAAATGTTGACGAAATAATACTTTCTCCATATACTATGTATAGGGGGAGGAAGTAAAAATCACATCTTACTACAAATTTTAACAACTTTGAGGTTGGTATAACTTGGCTGCTGAGGCGACAAAAAGTGCAATGACATTTACCAAACATGACCAAACAATGACATTGACCAAAAACTTTGCCAAGACCATGAACGAAAAATACTCTCCGTTTACATACCTTCCCTGTAAATAAATATTCGTAGATAATTACCCTCATTCAATGAAAACGTGTGTGCAGCCTGGTAATGCCAAACAACTATACCAACCAGCTCTCCGATCTTGAATTCTGGAAATACAATTTACACCTTTGTAATGAAATCAACATGTAAGTATAGAGATATAAGTTTTTAATTTCCATTTCATCACAACGGAAAATCATTCTTTGAGATAAAAAGTAAAACTTGGGCTACACTCATAAAACCGCAAAGCTAATGAAAGAGTTGATCCAAAAGTATTAAATGGAATATCCTTAAAACGAACCAGTGGCGGATCCAGAGGGGGGGCGAAGGGAGTGACCGCCCCCCCCCCCCTGGGGCATACATATACATATATCTTTTACTGCGTGTAATACAGTAATGCATAGAAATTGCGTAAAATAAATTGTCAAACTAACTTTGGACAAAGAAATGGTATAAAACTGCCATTTTGGAGACTTAGTTGACACAAATGTTTCGGGGGAGTACCCCTGAACCCCCCCCAGACCCCCTGGTTCGCCCCCTCTTGTTCCTGTTGTGCCTGTTCTAGATCCGCCACTGAAACGAACTCCAGCAGTTAGGTTAGGTTCTTAAAGTAATGTCACAAAAGCTACAGTAGTAAGATTCATAGTTTTATTGTTGCAATACAAGTACCCATCAAAATCTCCCCTCCAAAGTCCAGTCAACGGAATGAGAGTTATTAAGTAAATAAGTTACATCATTTATCTAACATGAGTAGTTGCAAGTTAAGGTGTCCCTACCAAGCGGGAACGAGATGATTTAGTGGTAGAGCATGAGACCACAACAGAAATGAGAGAGCAAGGTTGTCTTTGAGGTCCCAGCTTCAAATCCCACAAATTACCAATGGTTTTGATCTAAGTGATAATACAGAAGCTATAGGTCTAGCTTGAAGTAATGTGTGGCTCTGCGCTATAGCCTAGAATCCTAGGATGTGAAGGTTGGGCAAAAAAACCTACCTACCAAGCAGCAGATCCGGATCCATCTGTCGCATCATATCGTCCCACATGAGTAGTTGCAAGTGAGGGTGTCGCTGTCGCACATGTTGCAAGACATTTGTCAAGTGTGTCAAGAACAGACGATGCTTGTCGTGAGAAGCGCAGCGAGAGCAGGCTCCCATGTGCCAGACCTACTCTGAGAAAGATGTGAACAGTAGGTAATATTTTGATACAGTTTGTTCTAAAGTGTAAAATTATGAGAATAAATGGATGAAAATAGAAAAAAAAATCACCCCTGGTTTAATTATACCCAGGCTCAGGTACAAACATGTTGAGATAAAATTGTGGGCATGACGTAAGCTTGTAAACAGAATGAGTGAAAAGTAAAAAAAGAGAAGGTGTAAACAAATAACAGAATGTCTTAAAAAGGAAGAGTACACCATAGAACTCACTGAGATTTTGTGGGTTTTATGTGCTCTCTGTGTGTCTATGGCCTTTTTGTACTTCTTCTAAGGTAAGTTAGTGCAGGCCTGCAGTTTGCATGTGGTGCGCTATGGGCCCAAAATAAAATTAATTGCGTTTCTTTCCACCTACCCCCTCTTAACCGACCTCGTATTAACCGATAATCGGATTATACGCCTTTGATCGTTATATACCGACCTTGCTTTGATAGCAGTTCGGCTTAACCGCCGCTTTCTAGGAATCTCAGCATTTCCGCTCCCACGCTGGGCGATGAGAACTGAACCATACGCTTATCTCCACAGGATGTGACTAAGAATAAGTTATTTTGTATTTATCACAAAAAGTATAGCATAACCTATTGTCAGTTTGTCATCATCGTTTGTGGCTCGAGCACATCTGATCTGATTTGTTATCTGTGCGGCAAATTTATAACATCATAAAGTGCGTTACGATTTTGAGAACTAATTATCTTATCACTGGAGTAAACAAACAACACAACTTATAGGGAGGGCAGGGAAGGGGGGTTAACAACTCCAAGGTCAAGATAGTTTTTGTGCCTGCCTCCAGTGAGAGGCTATAAATAAACATCCTGTCTTGTAACAAAATGGTTGCTTGTATCTTTAATTTTGACAAACTACTGTATTACGATGGATTTGGAAAGCATAAATTAATACATTACACTACTAAAGTTATTTAAATAGGAATTTTTATTGACTCTTGCCTAAGTTAGTATTATAATATATTCCACTGAAAGTAGGCCTATTTGACTTAACCGTGTTTTGTGTTTATTTGTGACTTTTCTATCAATACGAAAAAGGAGATAAGATTAGTTTATTTTATAAATAATGAAAATATGACTTCAAAATAATGATTATGTAATTCCAAATAAATATCACTTCATTATGTTATGATTTTAGGGATTGCCCGTTTTAACCGACCTTTTGAGTTATCCAACCTAGGTCCGGTCCCATTAGGGTCGGTTAAGAGGGGGTCTACTGTACCTTGTGGGTGAATCTTTCTCTTCCTTGCGCCCCCAACAAACCTAAAACCTCTTGCGCCTTTGGGTCCGGCACACCGGGCCTATTGAAGAAACCCTGAGCTAGGTTTTCTTCCCTTTTCTCTACAATTCAAAATCTTAGCTTCCTTTCTTTGAACAAAACATATCATATAAAAAACTAGACTAGAGATTTTCCTGTTCATAAACTTTTTGATTGTTTTTTAGAAAGCAGAAATGATTGACCATAGCATATTTTCTAAATGTTAAAATTAAATGTAGAACAGCAGATGGAGTGATCCATTGCCTCAGAAAATATAACAAGGCTTCACATAAAATATTAATTTGATATTTTTAGCAACCACCAGAAAGAAGGAGTTTGTAAAGGTAGGAAAAGTATTTAGCCGAACTGCTCCCGGGTAATAACCATCAAGAATGCATGAAGTACCACAGAATCTTATTCTAAAGTGAGTTTTGTTCAAGGAAAGGCTACAGACCAGGATTTAGATTTGTAAAATAAAGCTTGCTTAGGGGTGCAACTATCTTTGTCCACACTAGAAAAAGTTGCCTATTGGACAAAATATTTTGTATTTTTGCACCTTCTGAGATTTCTATTGCCTAACGATACTTTTTCTAAGGTTGGCTAGCTGCTATCCCATTATTCTACAAATAAAAACCTAAGTTAAGTATAAAAAGAATACATAGGTAACCATAATTAAAGCCCTAAAATGGGATGAGTTATAAATTTTGCCATTTAATTGACAAGAAGAAAGCAAGTTGCAAGAAATCCGTTCATAACAAACAAAACACTTTTCGATTGGTTTTTAGCTTCTTTTAGTTTTTAGATATCACGATAACTTAGGAATCACAAAACCACAAGCTTAATGGTAATCTAGAGAACAATTAGTTACACTTTTCATCAGTTGTTAATTCATCACATAACGTTACCTCATCGGCTCCAATGTGGAAGAGTGTAACACCCTCCGATGCATCCATCACCTGGTCCAACATCTCGCTGACGAGTGGTAGAGATTCTGGGTGTCTAGGACACAGAGACGCTGGGTATTGTGGTATTTCACGTAACTCTGCAAACTGACGATGCTTCAGAACAAACTGTAACAGGACCAATACAAAGTTATGAAACTTTTTTATCAAACGTTAACAATCTGTTGAAAAATGTTCAAGGAAGACCTCCTGCAATGACTCCGCCACGTGTTGTCACATTGTCCGATCGACCAGACTACGATAATAATGACCGCATGTGTGTAAATATTTTTGTAGCATAGAGTATATTGTTAGTGGTACAGTAAGAAGATAACTTAAGAAGACCACTGAAGATACCACACAAGCTGGCAAAATGCATAGGGTGACACTTAAACAGCTTAAACCTACTCAAGAACTACATCCTACAATAACAAAGGTAAGTTAATCTAATCTTTATTTTTAGTTATTTAGTATCTTTTCAACTTTTTTTCAAAAGTTGGCAATAGATAGGCGGAACTAACCTCAAAATGTCCGAAGGTCTGTATCAATGGTACCACAGTCAGGTTGTTTGCTGCAGCTAGGCTATGGATTCTCCGTATCTCGGCCAAAGTGTAGCACGCAGAGGGAGATTGGAGAACTTCCAACCGTCCCAAGTATGGAAATGTGTCTTCCCATTCTATCAGTAGACCCGTAGCTCCCCATTCTCGCAATACCGGGAACAACTAGATAAATTTGAAAACGGTATTAGCAACTTGACACATGCTTTGTCCCATTAGTAGGCATTACAATTGAATATCCTTTACTTTTATATGGAAATCACATAATGGGTAACCAGAAGGGTTAACAATGGGTTATGGGGGATGGAACGTTTGGGGTGCAATGACTTGAAATAAAAACACCATTTGGGGAATTAAATAAAACCCGGCCGACTACATGGTTACGGTTTGCTGGAATCTTGAGGACTGGTCAGCAAGGAAACTTTTGGAACGGCGGTTAAACGTGGAGGGAATAGTGGCGTGATGGGTTGTAGCCAATCCGGGAGCTTTATTGAAATCATACGATATGACGTCACAGTCGCCTGATCGCAGTCAGGACACAAATGCAAAACATATTGCCAACTCTTTATAAAACAAATCTAAATATCGTAAAAATGGCAACATTATGGTACATTATTATTGTATACAATACATTTCCTCCCCTTTAAGTTTAAAATATTTTTTTCTTAAAATACGCAATTTTTATCAACACATCAAACCAATTAAATAATCATTAAATAGCCTAAAACAAAAACACTTTTATAAAACAATATTGTATGACTCAATCAAATAATACAAAACAATAAACATTAAAACAAAACAACCTTGATAAAATTGGAAACAAAACACAGAAATAAATATTTACAAATTCAACCTTTCAGGAGGTTTTATTTCTCTGGCAGATCGCCTCAATGGCGATGCTTGTTTGAGTCGATCAGCTGATTGTACAGGTGATGTAAAGGTCACGTCCGGTGGAGTAAGCGATGAGCGCATACTACTACGTTTACTACGTCCTGGAGTACGAGGTGTACTCGGCATTTCCGGTCTCATGGGTGAAGCCCGACCAGCTGACTGAGCATTGTTACCAACATCCTCGTCAAACATGTGTTCAGCTGGAGGCAACACTACCTCTCTAGTAATGTCATTCTGTTGATCATTCAAATTTACCTTAGTGTTTAACCCGACCAGCTGGTCAATATGGCGCTTCCATACAATACCTGAGTCTAATTTTACTAAATAAGATACAGGACTTAACACTTTAATCACTACACCTTGTGTCCATTTATTTCTTCCCCTGTAATCACGGACTAAAACAGGCTGTCCTATTGACAGTTCTCTAGTTTGACTGCCCCCTTTGTTTACAATTTGTTTGTTTTGGTTTGACAAAACCGTTTTACTAACAGAAGGACGTATCAAATCTAATGTAGTTCGCAATACTCTACCGAACATTAGTTTGGCTGGAGTTTCATTGGTTGTATTATGTACTGCATTTCGATATGCCAACAAAAATCTACTTAAAGCTAAGTCTGGATTTTCATTTGAAAACAAAGGCCCTCTTATTCTTTTCTTTACTGTTTTTACAGCATTTTCCGCCTGGCCATTACTAGCGGGAAAGTAAGGTGGTGTCAGCGTATGCCTAACCCCATTAGCTTTAAGAAACTTGCTAAATTCACAGGATGTAAAAGGAGGGCCATTGTCTGTGACACACTGTTCCGGAATTCCAAACCTTGCAAACATAGGTCTCAATTTATTTATGACTACTTTGGCAGATGTGGAACTGACCTCCTCTACTTCTATCCATTTACTATAAGCATCAACTACAACAATATACAACTTTGAATTAATAGGGCCTAAAAAATCTATGTGTAATCGTTGCCACGCTGACTTTGGGTATTCCCATACATGTAAATATGACCTTGACGGGCTTTGACGTTCCATGAGACATATGCGAGCAACTATTGGCAAGTTCTTCTATGTCTTTATCTATTGAAGGCCACCATAGATAAGAACGGGCTAGAGCCTTCATTTTGACTATCCCTAAATGTCCACAATGTAATTCTTGTAACAGTCCCCTTTTATACATTTTTGGAATGACAACCCGATAACCCCACATTAATATGCCATGCTCAATAGTTAGTTCGCTCCGCCTTATGAAATAAGGTCGTAATTCTTCGTTTACCTCATTAGGCCAGCCGTACAAGACATAGCCAAATACCTTACTTAACTCGTGGTCTTTTTGTGTTTCCCTCTTAATATCCACAAAATTAATTGGAATATCTCCCTCCGCTAAAAATTGCAAATAGGTTCCTACATAAGGATTTTCCTCATACTGTTCGTTAACATGTTTAGCTTGCAAAGGTAAGCGAGATAAACAATCTGCAGAAGCATTTCCCTGAGAGGAAACATATTGTATGTCAAAATCATAGCTGGCTAAAAATAAAGCATACCTCTGTAATCTGCTATTAGGGCCAAAAATTGACAACAATGGTTTGTGGTCTGTTACTAGTGTGAATTTTCTACCAAACAAATACTGATTAAATCTTTTAACAGCAAACACAATAGCTAAAGCTTCTTTGTCTATTACAGAGTAGTTTGATTCGGCTTTAGACAATGTCCTTGACGCAAAACAAATAGGTTTTTCAGATCCATCTGATTGCATTTGACTTAACACACTTCCGACCCCGTAGGCAGAACTATCAGTAGCTAACCTCAAGGGTAAATTTGGGTCATAATGCGCCAAAATAGGAGCTGAAACTAATTTGCTCTTAATTAATTGAAACGATTTGTCACATGATAAATTCCATTCAAATGGAGTGTCCTTTCTGAGTAAATGATACAGTGGGGATACAATGGTAGACATACTTGGCACAAATTTAGAATAATAATTGACTAAACCTAGAAAAGCTTTTAACTGAGTTACATTGGTAGGCACTGGGGCGTTTACAATAGCTTCAATTTTACTAGGAGATGTGCCTAGTCCTTGTTTACTTAATATGTACCCTAAATACTCAACAGATTTACAGAAAAACTGACATTTATTTTGACTTACTGTTAAACCATGATTCTTTAAAGTTTCACACACTTGAATCAACCTCTCTAAATGCTGTTTGTCATCAGTTCCTGTTACCAAAATATCGTCTAGGAAGCAAACAACACCGGGAATGTGAGCTAAAATGCGTTCCATTATACTCTGAAATATTCCCGGGGCGGATGCTACACCATATGGAACGCAGTTGTAAATATACAATCCTTTCGATGTACATATTGTACAATACTTCTTTGATTCCTCGTCTAACTTTACCTGAGTGTAAGCCTGAGAAAGATCAATTTTTGAAAATGTCTCCCCTTTTTGTAAATTATTAAAAATGTCCTCAATCCTTGGAATTGGGTGGCGATTGACTACTAAATAGGGGTTGAGCGTTACTTTAAAATCGCCACATATTCTTTTACTTCCGTCCTTTTTCAAAATAGGCACAATTGGAGTTCCCCATTCACTATTGCTAACTTGAGTTAAAATCCCATTATTTACTAATCGATCAATCTCAGACTCCACTTTACTTTTGATCGAAAATGGTATAGGTCTGGGTTTGAAAAACTTAGGAATTACATTTTCCTTCAACTCTAATCTAGCTGCATCTCCCTTGTAACAACCTAATACATCAGTAAATACCTCAGGAAATTTACTGTACAATTTACTGACAATTACAGGTTTTTGATCTAGCTTTTCAACCGTGTTCAAACTATTTTCTTTAGGGATTCGGATCGATATTTCTAGTTCCCTAATCCAGTCTCTTCCCATTAGAGGATTAGCCCCTTTAGACACAACATACAATGTTAACTTTTTATGCTCATATTCATGCTGTACATTTACGTTAAGTTTTCCTACAGGTTTTATTGGCTGGTTTGTATAGGAGCTCAAAACCAAATTAGTGGGCATTAATTCGAGATCAGAGAAATTATCGTTATAACACTTTTCAGAAATTACTGACACGCATGCTCCACTGTCAACCTCAAATGGCAATACAGTATGTTCTACTTTAAGATTAACCGTGATAGGTTTTATTCTATCCCTCTGTTTACTTTCCTCATCATTTATGGAAAATAAATTAGCTAAATCACTATAATCATCGTCATTGTCATTGACCCCTGTGTTCTCTACATAGTTTTGCTTATACTTATGAGACTTACCAGAGGTAAACTTAGGTGTAAAGTTCTTTTGTCCATCTTTACGCTTATCATTAAATGCAAATTTAGATTGTGACTCACCATTGTTTTTCTTCATCAGACACGCACTTTCTAAATGGCCTTTCCTCTTACAAAAATTGCAAGATAAACTTTTAAAACGGCACTCACTTTTTAAATGACCAGATTTACCACAACAATAGCACTTTACTTCACTTTTTGAGCGCTGCCACGGCTTCCGCTGCTGCTGCTGCTTCGAAGCGACGTTGTGGAGATGACTTCCTCTCCCCGTGTTGTGGTAGGTCAGGGCCGCGGTGTCTCTCGCTGCCAACTCCATCGATGTGGCTATTTGGACCGTCTTCTCGTAGGTGAGATCTTCCTCGCCCAGCAACCTCTTCTTGGTGGCGTCGTCCCTCAACCCACTTACGATCCTGTCCCGAAGATGATCCGGTAGTTTGTCCTTAAACTCGCAGTTGACAGAGAGTTTCTTCAGGTTGACGATGTAATCAGCGACTGATTCATGCTCCAATTGTGTTCGTAGACTAAACTTGTACCTTTCGGCAATAAAAGATGGTTTTGGATGAAGATGTCCCTTAATGATCCGTACAATATCCTCGTAGCTTTTAGTAGCAGGTTTGTCTGGTGTACATAGGTCTTTAAGCAGGTTATAAGTTTTCACTCCGACAACCGTCAAAAGCGTACTAACCTTTTTAGCGTTGGTAATATCGTTACATGTAACAAACAATTCAAAACGCTCGATATATGAGTCCCACGTTTCTTCTGAATCATCAAAAGGACCGATCGCACCGATGAACGACATCTTGAAATTTAATAAAGTTCCAAAGTTATCAATAAGGTTCTCATCAAGCGGCATTAATGTTTACACTCACACGCACTGTTCGAAGTTAACTTGACCGAATTCTTCTGTGAACACACGTACCTTCCTACGGTGCACTAGAAATTCAATTGTCACTTTTAAAAACACACGTACCTTGCTACGGTGCACTTCGATTGTCACTTAAATCACTTAAAAACTTTTTACGCGTTGAGTCATTTTCGTACCTCGTCGCCACTGGAACGTTTGGGGTGCAATGACTTGAAATAAAAACACCATTTGGGGAATTAAATAAAACCCGGCCGACTACATGGTTACGGTTTGCTGGAATCTTGAGGACTGGTCAGCAAGGAAACTTTTGGAACGGCGGTTAAACGTGGAGGGAATAGTGGCATGATGGGTTGTAGCCAATCCGGGAGCTTTATTGAAATCATACGATATGACGTCACAGTCGCCTGATCGCAGTCAGGACACAAATGCAAAACATATTGCCAACTCTTTATAAAACAAATCTAAATATCGTAAAAATGGCAACATTATGGTACATTATTATTGTATACACTACAGGGGAAACCATAATAATTGCAATAACAGTTTCAATAACAGTTTAAAGCATAATTTGACAGGATTGCAAATAGTTAAAAGTAGGCCTATACCTGCTACAAACTACATTTTAACCAACGTTGTTCAAAGTTTTATTGTGAAAATCTGTTTTGTTATTTTAGGAAGTATTTATAAAGAAATCACAAAAAAATCTAAATTTAAAAAATGATAAAACCCCTAAAGATGGATTAGTAGCCACAAAAAAAAAGTGTAATCTGAAGCTCTATACACATACATCACTTCGAAAACCACTTTTTTGGGTTTAGGTGGCCCAACACTCAAACTCCAAAATAAAAAAATAAGACAATATTATCTCAATATATCCTACTATGTTAGAAAAGGTAGAGAAAGTGAAATTTAAAATTGAATTGGAACTACACAAGAATAATAGTTTGAACAAAACAATGTTATGATTATAAATGGCTTGGCTATATCATTGACTCTTCATAGTACTGAAGTAGACTTCCCATCTAGATAAGACTCGAGGATCTCAACGTATAGGGGCGTAAGCGCCATTTTTAGCGAAATTATGTTAGTACCATTTTTGGGAACCTTGTAACATAGGCCTACTACTAAATAACCTCTAGAAGTTTTGTCATGAATTATAAAATATTTATCGAGTTATATGCAAAAAAGCAAAGGGCATGTCACCAAAGTGCCATCTTCTGTCACAGAAAAAGGACGTAAATGCCAGTGTCATGGTAAAGGGGCGAATGTTACACGGTGTCATGGAAAAGAGTCGTAAGTTTGTGTCATGGTATAGGGGCTTAAGTCCGTTTTGTTTGATAGCTCTCTTTAATTTTGTGATGATACAAATCAAAGATTTTTTATTGTGTATTTTGTATAGTTTTTTTGTGATTTTTTAAATAATCAGAATTTAAAATCAAATGAAAGTAAAACCAAATGTGTCACATTCAAAACAAAAGAAAACAAAAACAATACCAATCCTAATATTGAAGTAAATAACCAACCAATTGAAATAACAGAAGCTGTAAGTTTCCTTGGCTTGACATTGGACAGCAACTTGTCTTGGGACAAACACTGTAAACTTGTTATAAATCAAATAAATTCCGGTCTTTGTGCGATTAGAAAAATGTCAAAACTATGCAGTATTGAAGTTTTAAAAATGATTTATTTTTCCCATATATCTTATGGCATATTATGTGTATATGAAGCCACCTCAAATTCGAATCTAGACAAAATTTTGACAATATAGAAGCAATCAATCAGAGCTATGTTAAAAATGAACAAAGATGATTCTGCAAAAGATCACTTTAAACGTTTAAGGATCCTCACTGTTTATGGTTTAAGTATGTTCTTGAATGCATTATGTTAGTCAAAAACAAAAATTTCAATCCACCAATTAAAGAAAATAATCATAACTACAATACATGTAACAAAAATAACTTTGTGATTGGAAAAATAAATTAGAGCTCTTCAAAAAAAGACTGTCAATGCAGGACATGAATTTTTTAAATTTATTCCTTTGAAAATTAAAATAGAACAAAATCCCAACATTTTAAAAAAACGTCTCAAGGAATATTAATAGACCTGTCCTTGTAGGCCCATAGATAAGAGTTTAGAGGAATTGAAAATGGCTTTATCATAGTTTTAAGCATTAGTTTTAACTTATTTGACACTATTCATGTACAACCATGAATAAAGATACTTGACTATGACTATATAAAATAATAGTCATTAATTTATTTACTATATATTGACATACCTTTTCCAAATAGTCAATTTTCAATGGAGAGCCTTTAAGATCCAGATGAATCAGTCTGGAAATAATAATTTGAATTAAAGAAAGAATAAAAATTGGCTAGTGAGTTTTATAACTGCTCAGTCACCTCCTGAATCTAAACATTAAGAAAATACAAGAAACCTTGTCTTCCCTGACCCAGCAAACACAGAATAGAAATTTCTATTCTGTTTCCGTTGACCCTGTCTCTACTTACCAATCTTACAGAACTTCCCACCTGAATGAAATTGTGATTTTCTTAAATGGTCTTGGTCAAATTAAATGTGTTTAACATTATTGAACCCAACATTTTAAAATCTTATTTTTGACAAGTAAGTAGTAAATTATCTTGTAAATTATTCCAATATTTGCTTGGGAAAATTACAAAAATAGGTAATACTGAATAGGTTATACTACTTATTGCATTTTTTTGAACTTATCTACCAAAATTAAGTTAGGCTGTTTTAATTGTTTAATTGTTACCTTTTGGCAGTTTTGGGAAAAAAAAAACTATTTCACCCTGAAAGCATTTGAACATTGCGAAAAACGCTAGAAATCAATGATTTTTGGGGCTTAAACATTTTCTTTTAGCGAATTTCCCTATTGGGAAAATGGGAAGTAGCTATTACCATAGGTCTCATGGTAAGACCTAGGCCCAGGACCGATTTACTCTTTCATTTTGATGTCCCCAGAGGCCAAAAATACCATTTGTTCAAATTTTTATATAGGCTATGTATATTTATTTAATTATTATTTAATTATTTAAGCGAAATAATAAAAACCATAGTACTCTGAAATAAACTTTCAGGGTGCTCTGGTTTTTGTTGTTTTGCTTATTAATTGAAAAAGTAGCCCTAAAAAGTGAACAGAACTATTAAAAAATGTATATATTTATATATATGAGAGTCCATCCAGACAATAACTTTGAGTAATTTTTGTCCGATTTTGATAAAATTTGTTTTGAAGTTGTAAGGCGGGATTAATTTAAATGAGTTCGCGAACCAGCATGATCGGACTATGGGAACGGGGTTTAAACGGGGGTTTTATGGGGTAAAAATGGGGTTTTCTAATTTTTTACCCTTAAAACACAAAATTTATCAATTTTTCTCCAGACCTTTTTAAAGAGCTTAAAAAAACAAATAATTTATTATATCAAAGTGTTTTTTTTACGGTGATTGGTTAGGGAGAAAATTCCAAAAATTTTTAATTTAAAATTCCCATATGTTATTCTTATGGAGAATATTGTAAAATGTTGTTTGGTTTGCTTATATATTTTGATCAAACTTGGCGGATTTATTTATTTCGTACGAAGCTATTGATATATTAATAAAAAAAATACACTTTATTAGTTTCGCTGTAGCAGCTAACCTAGGTACTCGTTAAACATAGTAAATTTAATAAATTAATTGAAAATCAATCCAGGCAAATGGAAATTCGCTTAGTAGGCAGGTTTTCTGCAGCGGGGGCATTTTTTCTTTTTATGTGTTTTTTAGCGAATTTCCCATATAGGGAATATTTAGCGAATTTCCCATATAGGGAATATTTAGCGAATTTCCCATATAGGGAATATTTAGCGAATTTCCCATATAGGGAATAAGCTATTACCGTAGTACTCATGGTAAGACCTGGACCCGGGACCGATTTTTTTTTTTGTTTTGAGGTCCCTAGAGGCCAAAAACACCATCCGTTCAAATTCATATATATATATATATATTTATATATATATGTGTCCGTTAGCGCGATAACTCGAGCAAAAATGATCCGATTTTGATTAAATTTGGTACAAACAAGTAAACCTACGTTTATTCGAACGAGTTCGCGAACCAGCATGATCGGACCATGGGAACGGGGGTTTATGGGGGGTTTTAAGGGGTAAAAATAGGTTTTTCCCATTTTTGACAAAAAAAAACATCAAATTTTACAATTTCTTTCTAAACTATTTTGTAGAGCTTAAAAAAACAAATAATTTAGTATATTGAAGCGTTATAATGCGCCTAATGGTTACGGAGAAAATTCCAAAAAATTGCAAATTTAAAATTCTCATGTTATTCCTAATGGAGAATAAGTAAACTGTTGTAGTTTGCTTGTTTATTAACATATTTTGCCCAAATTTGGAACATGTTTTTATTTCTTACTAACAATTAACATTTTACATAAAAAAACACTTTTACCCTCCCTGTTGCAGCAAACCTAAGTATGTGTTAAACTGATTCTATTTAAATAGGGATAAATGTGATATTTTTAAGGAGACATTTTAGTGTAAATCCAATCAGGCAAATGGAAATTCGCTTAGTCTGCAGGTTTGCTGCGGCGGGGGTATTTTCATTATTTAGTGCATTTCAAACACTTTATCAGCAAATGCTGTTTTGACCCAGAAAACCAGGTTTGAAAAATAAAAAAAATACAGCAGAAAGCCAAAAATGACCCATTTTTGGGTATACCAAATTAAATATAATCCAACATAACTCAATCCTAATCCAACCTAAGCTAACCTAACCTAACCCAACCCAACCTAATTCATGCTTAGGTTAGCAAAGTGCCAACAATTACCGATTTAGGGTAAACTAAGGCTAGGTTACGTTAGGATAAGTTAGATTAGTATTAAGTTATTGACACATTTACTGGTCAAATGTGATTTTTAATGCTTTTCTCTATTTTAAATTGTGTTTTTCGGGGTGAAATAAGGTAAGGTGTTTGCTGAAAAAGTGGATGAGGAAGAAAGTGTTAAAAATGGCCTAAATAATGAGAACAATACCATTTAGGCCTACTTAAGGAAAAAAAAGTTTTTCAAGCACCTTAAATCGCTGATTTCTAGAATTTTAAATTTTAAATTGCAATTTTCAGGGTGAAATAGGTGTATCCCCCCAAGAGTGCCAAAGGTAAAAAGTGCTTAAAATAGCCTAATTTTGGTAGATAAGGGAAAAAAATTAAAAATTTAACGTAAGTAGTATAAGTTCAGTATTACCCAAAAAGGATTTTACCCCGAAAAACTAAGGATTTTCTCTTCAACTTATAGCTTCCTAACTTGACTCTTACATTTTTGTTAAATACACTTAGGATTGAAATTTTGTATAACCTTTCTCAGGATTGAACTAGCAGTCTTTAGACTTTTTAACTACTCAGCTAACCAGCTAAGTGGCGGTGGCATGCAACTCAAATTAATTTTGGGCTCTGTTAGACCGGTTTTGAATGATATAAGTATAGAAGTTCGGTACAAGATGCTTAGTATTAAGTTATGGTCTACTTAAAACATTGATTTAAAATGTATTATCAACTTGGAGTTTAAGGCATATTGGCCTTACAATTGCCTAGTCACTAACAAGACTAGCCTACAAGATCAGACTGTGTGATACCCTTACAGTATCCTTGGCAAAAACCCTAATAAAAAGCAATTTAATGCCTATCAAGCCCTATGCCTTACTTAAAATATAGGCTATCTTTAAAAATAAAGCTCATCCTACACTCATCTCCATTCATACTTGGCTTAAAATACCTACATTCGTATGGCCGCCATTTCACAATAAAGTTTCACAATAAGGAATTATCAAGTACCTAAAAGTACGATTTAAGTAGCAAGTCAAAAGCAAAATATATAAGTTATATTATGTTTTTCATATTTCATTACTCAGTTGCGAATCTAGTATTAGCATGTATTCATAAAGCATGACCAAATAGCAAGAGATGTAAAACTTACAGCATGTTAATAGTATTACTTAATCCAAAAATTTTTATGCATGTAATTGATTGTACAAATGGTGATTTTGCCGTAAACAAATAAATAAATAAAACCTGCACATGACTTCTATAGGCAATAGACCAGCTGCTTTAAATGATAAAATTCTTCAAGACAGAAAACAAAATGAACTGAGTTTTTAATCCACTGTATCTGGTATATGACTTTGGTGGTGATAACTAGATTGTTAACTTATTCTTGCCACATGCAGGAAGGCAGGAGTAAAATAAGGCGGGTTACACACCGGTATCGCAGACATAATGTTGCTGATATTTCGATGTCGCTAGCATGATGTCAGCGCCACACAATGAGATATACAAACCATGGAAGAGGCACGTGCTAGCGACAAGTGAAGGAATCAATTATTCATTAGTTTAATTCATGATGAACTACAGGCAGTAGTTACCTGTAGCGTTAAATCTTTTGAAGCGACTTCCCACCATGTCTTTTCCTGTTCATTACGATTGCTGTAATAATAATAACTCTTCAAATTATAGTTATACAGCACTGGAAATTCTCCTACTACTGCAATTAACTCTTAATTCATCGGGAAACGGCATTTTTCACAGTCACACTCGTTTGCTATGACACAAGACACGACTCACCACTCACCTCGAACAAAACAAAACAGATAGTACCGCAGCAGCAGCGCCAAAACAACTATAAACATGTTCTGCCCATGTGCGGGCCCAAGAGACAAGAGACATGTCTGTCCAAACACCAACAGGTTGGTTCGCTAGAGACACGTGCTAGTGACATGAGTCGCTGGCAACGTGTCCGTGACACTGGTGTGTATAGTTACATCGGGCTCCATAAGTTAACATCGGTTGGTTTTCGAGTGGCATGTCGCTAGCACGTCAAATATCAGTGACATTATGTCTGCGAGACCGGTGTGTAACCAGAGTCAAAGCTTTGCAGCCTCAGACAGTCCTCTGAACCTATATTACCAGACCAGACCTCTTCAGTCTTCCTATTGCATGTTGTAAGATATGACTGATGAAAAATTGAAGAACCATTCCTAAAAACTGAAATTTCTGACAATGACAGCAAGGAGTCAACACACACCGCTAACTTATTCTTCAACCATCAAATGTGATAGGCCTTCTCAAAAAAATCCTAATTCTCAGTGTCTGTGCCTAAAGTTAGTAGTCTAAAAATTAAAATATCTTTAATGGTTTTACTATATGGTACCTATTTTGATATTATAGCATAGGCCTACCTGGACTCAGAAGATGCCATCAAGAATATTGTTTTTAGATCAAATTGCAGTTTGTGTACTAATTCATTGATATTCAGCTAACAGATATCTAAAAAGACAGAATAGTTTGTTAACATTGCATACGCTTACAGTATCCTTAGCAAAAACAAAACCCTAATGAAAAGTAAGTTTTGCCTTGTAAATATGCCTTACTTAACATATATCTTTAAAAAATAAAATGTTATTTATTAGTTTCAGGACGAATGTGTATTGAATAGGTTTTCTAAAACCCATAGTCATAACTCATATTATGAGTTTCGATTTTACAGACCTTAATTCTGTGAAAAATTATAGACTATATAAAAGGAAGTTAGCTTAGTAAGTTACAAAACTAATTCCCTGTCATTGAAATGTAATGGACTTTAAAACTCAACATTCTTAAATACTGGTAACGTTAAAACACCGGATCTTTATCATCCTTTATATTTATATTCTTTACATATTTAATTAATATCTTTATATTCCTTTATCCTCTGTTTTTATTAAGTGAACCAAACAGAAACAATAAACAAACCAGTTTTATCCTACCGTTGTTGTAAAGTAGGGTTATGTTTGTTATTGACGTTATTGTTTTGTTTTATGTCGTCTGTCGTCTGTCCCACTAGCCCACGCCACGCCCACTAGCTCTAGCTCTAGCTCAGTCAGTCAGTGCTCTCGCTCTCCCTTGCCTCCTCTCTTGCTCCCTTGCACGCTCTCTGTTCTGTTCTGTTCTTTTTCTTCTCGTGACTGAACACTAACACTGACAGACGATGACTGGGACTGAGGAGAGGAGCGAGGGCGAGGATACCCGCGACTTTTGTGGTTATTTAAAACTAGACTTGAGGACCCATGAAAAAAAAAAACTGTTTTTACACAAAAGATGTGGTGTACAGAGATATCTATTCTGGCACATAAATAGTATATTTCTTATAGTTTGTTTAAATATTAGAATAATTTGTTTCATATTATTGAGCTTTACTAGGGACTTATGTCCCTACAAGCCACACTACTGTTAACTAAGTGTCTGGTTTATAAAAAAGAGTTTCCTAACAAAGACTTGACAACAAATTGTTTGTAATAGTTGAATTATTGATTTACCTTACGTCATATTTTACTCAATTATCATGTAGTTTTGGTTACAGTTCGGTGTGATGAAATAAATGTTTAAAAGTAGTGATTATTCACAGTGAAACCCGTTACATTATCATTATCATCATTTACAATATGTATCAAAATTCCTATGTAGTGTTTTCTGTAGTTTGTGTCGTTGCATTGTGTATGCACACGTATTTTGTTGAGTTTGATAATTGAAAAATGTAGCTTCATTTAAAGATTTATTTTACAATACATAATTGATTGATAAAAAATGTGTAATGTTGATGATGACTTATTTAACACTCTAATTATTAATAATAACATATGATAGACTAGCTGTTGTACCCGTGCTTTGCAACGGGAAGAGGACACAAAATAGAAATATTTTAATCTTTACATCTGTTGCATATAATAGTTATACATCCGCCAACACTTTTAGAAACAAAATTCAACTTTTATGGCCTTAATAGAAACGTTTAAGTTATGACTTTTAAATCTGGTAAGTAGTGGATACCACCATTTTGGTTTTGATTAATTTTAAATCTTGTGTAGGCTGATATGAGAAAAACTGACCAAATCTTTGAATAAAACTTTGACATACATGATTTACCTCCATCTCCCTTAATTACTTATCTTTTAATTTATTATTGACATTTTAAATTTCAATTTTGAAGTTGCAAAAATACTAAAAATTTAAATTTAAATGAACATTTTTTTAAGTTTCACTCTTTTTTATATTAATTCACAAATAATTAAAAAGCTTCCACTACGTAAGTCACCCGGCCACAGGGCCGAACTTACCTAGGGGCGGACGGGGCGAGCGCCCGGGGCCCCCGGGCCTAGGGGGGCCCCAAAGGGGCCCCTTGCACAGTAGTTTTTATTAATATCTTCGAAAACTAATCAGACACTTACCGAATGATCTTCTTTTTTAACAGCTTTATTGTCGTTATCCTATATTTAAGGTTATTGTTAGATGAACTTTAAGGTATTACTAGGACCAAAATTCTTGACTCTAAGGGACTTTTCCTCAGGGTTGCACTGGGCCCCACCCTTAGACCTAGTTTACACGAGCATAGCTGCTAGGCTGTGACGGACCAGTTTGAGTTTCAATGAAGCCGTTCACACAAACCTACGGCCGCGGTGATCAAGTTGAAGGGGGCCCCTTCGCTTGGGGCAAAAAATACAATAAATAATATGAAAACTCTTGTCCTAACGTAGAACGTAACTTGTACAATTGTGTTGGGGTTAAATGGAGATTCAATTGAGATCTAATACGTTTGAAAAATAAAAACATTGTTTGAAAAATATGTTTTATTAGATGTTATTCTTTTACCTCTAAGTATATGCCATTCACGATTTTAAGGGGCAGAAGTATTATATTACCCATTCAATTAAAAGGTTTTATAAAATAGTAATTAAGTTATACGTCGAAATTCGGATCTTCAATTTAGTCGATAGAGTCAAAATCATACAGCACCAGTAGGATAAAAAATCTATATAGACATTTTATGACAACTAGGGTCGTCTGATGTTAACAAAAATTACATTATTTGGGAGCGGGCGAGCGTTGTCGACTGAAATCGTAAAAAAGCGCTCAACAAGCAGCTGCAACAATAAATGATAATGAGCTGATAAGGGATCCTGTCTAGTCTTGTCTGTCTCACGCACGCGCATACACATACATACAATGACAATGCCTTATCGCCAATCCAAAACAATTTAAATCACTTTACTCCCAGTGTGTTTTTGGTTGACATTATCGTAGGCCTACTTTTGTGTTGTATTTTATTATTAATTCTGCAAACACTACAAAGAACAAATTAATGTTGTATTGAATGTTATGTTTGTGTTGTATTAATTTATATTGAATACATTTAATTATCTTTCAGTTTACTCATATAAATGGTTAGCTTGTGATTGGTTATTAGACTTGTATTGTAACATTTTACTCGTCAAGAAAAAACTCAAACTCGTTAAAGTTCTTAATGGTACTTTTCATGCTAGGACTTTTAACATATTATACAAACGAGAATTCCATGCCAAAACCACTATGAAAATAAACATAAGTCATAGTTTATGATTTTATAGTTTTAGTGCAGCCAAGAAATGTAGGAAAAGCAGGAGGTTTTAATTGCCATGCCAACGTGACCAACGTATCAGAGTAGGAAGTGACATTTATTTATAGGGAAAATAACTATGTTCTAAACTTTATAATGATTAATCTATAAAAAGTAAACTTTAAAATTGTTTTGACTTGTATCTTATAAACTTAGTACAGTAAAAGGTTTGTTAGTAAAATTATAGTAAGTTATAAAATATATTAAAGCTTTAAAAGTTTATGCATTATCTCTGACTTACATCACGTGTTTAAATATAACTTATTCCATTAATTAATGTTAGTTATTTTTTCATTTGAGTTTTCATTCAAGCACCAAATAGAATGTGTATTACAGTAAAAAAATTAAATTAAACCTTTTACAAGTACGTGTTATTTTATTTTTATTTTATCTATAGTTTTCATTATTTGTTGCAAAGGATATTACATTTTAATGTATTGCAAAAAATGTGTAAGGTACCTGCTAGGTATATTAAAATTTTATAAATACAATTACAACAAGAACAAATCATAAAATAACACCGTACATTGTAGCTATTTTCAGACTTAAAATATTACATACAATTAGTTTATGCAAAATACAGCATTCTAACAGGTTTACATATTAATTCACCTTGAAATTAGCTATTTAAAATTAGTGTGCATGTAAATGCGTTACATTGTGTACCGTATATGTTCTCGTATAATCATACTGGGGGCCCCATCGGGAAATTCGCCCGGGGCCTCTGAAGTCCTAAGTCCGGCCCTGCCCGGCCATGGCCTTATTCCTAATATTATTTTGCGAAATCTCACCAATAAAGGCTTTTCATATTTCGCATCAATTATTAATGCATGTTTGTCTAAATCTTACTTCCCTTCTATTTGGAAGCATGCGGAAATATCAGTTATCCATAAACCCAATAAACCAAAGTCTTCTCCATCGAGTTACCGTCCAATCAGCTTAATGTCTACACTTTCTAAAGTTTTTGAAAAAATAATCTTGAAACGAATTGCCTGTTACATAGATGCTGCAAATATAATTCCTGCTCATCAATTTGGATTTCGGCCGAAACATTCGCCCATACATCAAATCTTACGTATATATGAAACTATAGTGAAAGGTTTTGAGAGGAAACAGCACACAGTAGCGGCATTCCTTGACATATCTCAGGCATTCGATAAGATATGGCATGACGGTCTTGTGTTTAAATTAATTCATTTTGGATTCCCAAAATAAATATTTAACCAATATTGTAAAATCGTTTCTCTGTCACAGGACCTTCTCTGTAAAAATTTGTTCTTCTAAATCATCTATTCGACGAGTCAATGCAGGAGTTCCACAAGGTTCAATATTGGGCCCTGTATTGTTCAATCTGTACATGGCAGACATCCCTCTTCCAGAAGAAGCTTCATTGGCTCTGTACGCCGACGACACTGCTATCCTGTGCCAACATTCCGATATCCACGAGGCCACATATTCTCTGCAACACTCTGTGGACGTTCTCATTGATTAGTTCTACAAATGGAAATTTCAACTTAATTCAACTAAATGTGATACCAAAATATTTTCCTTGAAGAAACATACATTGCCACATGAAATTCAAATATATGGTAACTTTCTACCGTGGAACCCTGATGACCAGGCCATAAAATATCTTGAAGTTTGGCTGGACAAAAAACTTAATTGGAACTACCACGTTAATAAAAAAACTGTCCCAAGGTTATGCACGCCTTGCAAAGCTTTTTCCTTTGATAAATAGAAAATCGACTCTAAAACCAGCTTGTGCAGTTTTAATCTATAAATCAATAATTCGGCCGTTAATAGCATAATGCATCACCTATCTGGGGATTCGCTATTTCAAAAAATAAACTGTTCAAAATTCAAGTAATCCAAAATAAAATTCTTAGAATACCTAGCAGTGAATGCTCCTTGGTTCGTTAGAAATAAACATATACACGAAGAGCTTGGAATAGAATCTGTCTCGACCTTCATTGAAAAATCCACCTTCAAATTTCTAAATTCTCTATACTCTATACAATGTTCCTGGAGCACTGTATTAAATTGAACACGTGACTTGCATCTAAAATTTACTATGTTACAGGGTGTCTCAAATTTGAGCGAACCCGCTATGTTATTTATGTTATTTTCTTATTTTTTTCTACTTTTGTTCAAACTTCTGTGAATAATGTAATATTGAACCAGAAATAAATGTTGTAAAAAAAAACAAATCCTTCCATATTCAGTTTCTTCACTCACAATAAATAATTAGCAAAACTAAGCCAGCTGTTATAA